GGTCGGTCTCTTAGAGCAAGCCACGCTAAGTCCGAGTGAGTGAAAACATAAGCTTCCGTGTACGTGGCGAGGGCAGGAATTGGGGTTAAAGCGATGCAATTTTTAAAAAAGAAGAAATAATACGTTTCCTGTTGACATAATGACCCTTACCGCTCTCAACTAGCGTCGATTGGTGGTGTAATGGTCAGGCTCTTCGTCGTTGCTCGCAGAAGACGTTACTTCGATGGCTTCGAGGGGATTTTATTTTATCGACAATCTCCTTTTATTATTATTTCTTTTTTTATTTTGGTAAGTGTTTTACGGCGCTCGCGACTGCATAAGGTCATATGAGCGCGCGGGACACATCAAACATTTTCAATTTGGTTGGAATTAATTTTGAATTTTGCCCCGGTGACGGCTGAAACCTACTGTTACGAATTTGGGACCACAAAGGGATCTTCAATGTGCGCAACTTACACAAGGACCTCCGAGATTTTTCGCCCTTATCCGAGAAGGCTAGGTGTTAGATTTTACCTACCCTAAGATCAAGGGTATATCTGAAAGACAGCAATAAGAAGTAGCTAAGGAGTAGCAGTAGAAATGCTGCTGAAAGAGTAAAAAGCTCAGAGAAGGGAGCAAAGAGGGTTGGGTGCAGAAAGTGGGGACCAAAGCATACGACAGAACAGGGTTAGACAGCTGGGAGGTGGAAGGATAACATTTTAGAGGAAAATATTTTCCATGCTTGTTCGTGTTACCGTTTGTAATAATGTTGTTGCTGTTGTTGTTATTGGTTTGGGGTTGTTGTTTTTTTGTGACTGTTGGGGTTTTTTAGGTGGGAAAGGTGGGGGAGGTGGGAGGTGGGAGGTGACGCCAGAAACTAGTGTATGAAAACGCTAGCCACACCTTCAACGCTGTCAGAAATAAAGCCAGTGGAAGGTATCTACATAGGTATCTTCCTTGTTATCTTCCAGCTCCACTACAAAATTAAACAGTGGCAAAAGAGGCGTCTCCTACTGTGATCAATGCGACTGGTAAAAGGGACTACACACAGCTGTGGCGATAGGTTCAATTACTTAAATGGGGAATATGGTGGCGATGTTGGTTTAACTGTTCAGTGACCTTGGCCACTTTTATATACATTATATACATTATATATATATATATATATGTGTGTGTGTGTGTGTGTGTGTGTGTGTGTGTGTGTGTGTGTGTGTGTGTGTGTGTGTGTGTGTGTGTGTGTGTATGTGTGTGTGTGTGTATGTGTGTGTGTGTCTCTGTATGTGTGTGTGTGTGTGTGTGTGTGTGTGTGTGTGTGAGTGTGTAATATATAGATAAACAGATAGACAAGAGAGAGAGAGAGAGAGAGAGAGAGAGAGAGAGAGAGAGAGAGAGAGAGAGAGAGAGAGAGAGAGAGAGAGAAAGAAAAATAGATGGATAGACTTATATAATACACCATTTTTGTGGGAGGGGGTAGAGGGTGAAAGGAGGAGGAGGGGGGATGCGGAGTTGGAAGTTGTTGAAGTAGGTTGTTGTGATGTGGTGTGGTTGCCGTTAATAGCATGGATATTGTATCTTCGGTGTTAAATTGTGGATTTATTGTAGTAGTAGTAGTAGTAGTAGTAGTAGTAGTAGTAGTAGTAGTAGTAGTAGTGGTGGTAGCGGTAGTGGTAGTGGTAGCGGTAGCTGTAGTAGTAGTAGTAAGTAGTAGTTGTTGCTATCGTTATTTTGTTGCTTTTGTTATTGTTTTGGAGCGGGTTTTTTCTCTGCTGAGACAATATTTTATCGTGGTTGTTGTTACTGATGTTGTGTTATTATTGTTATTACTGTTGTTGTTGTTGTTGTTGTTGTTGTTGTTGTTCTTCTTCTTCTTCTTCTTCTTCTTCTTCTTCTTCTTCTTCTTCTTCTTCTTCCACTCGTTCTTCTCCTGCTCCCCTCCTTCTCCTCCTTTTCCGCCTTTTTCTTCTTATGTTTTTCTCCTCCTCCTCCTTCTTTCTGTGCTGATATAATGATCTTAAAATAACTATGGGAACCGACTTTGAGTTCGGGACAAAATTTATGATTCAAAAGTTTTGACTCATTCATTCATTCTTTTCTTTATTTTCTAAGACGACTACGTTTCACACACCGATCAAATCCCGTACTGTGACTCATCAAGTGGCAAAACTCCACCACGGAAGTATTCCTTCCGGTGGAAGTGACGCATGGGAAGGCGATCGCCTGGTATTGCCACCCCTCCCACCTTCCTATATGATTGGCTGCAATGTCATGGATGTGAGGTACACCCTTGAGGTAGGCATAAAGTCTGAGATTTCAATCCTCGTCCTATCTGGATCTCATGAATGAGAAACACCCTTTTCCCCTTTGAATGCCTTTATCCTTTGGGGCCAGTTTCAGCTACAGATTTAGCGGTGTTTTGTGGCAGGTCTGTCGACCCAGACAGTGTCTAATCCACTTCTGTCTTTTTATGGTGTTTTCTACAGGCCCGAAATACATACTCAATAACACTGTAATCAAGCATTCGATGCAATTTTAATAATTTCTGAAGGTATTAAATTCCAAGGTCGTGTGTAAGGCAGTTGATTTACTACGTTGAAGTGGAAAAGATGGAAAGCTCTCTGTTCTATTTTCTTGGAATTTGTCATTAGCACAGTCTCAAAAAAGTGATCAACTTCTGAACCTGGAAACAAACAGGCACTATGACCCCAAACGCAACAAAAAAAATCCGATTTAGAGCCGTTTTTGTTATTAATTTATGGGTTGTGATTTATGCAACAGTGATAAAAACGGAATCTACAAGGCAAAAGAAAGAGAGGAAGGCCTAAATGTTATTGGGGAGGGACTCGGATTCATCCCATTAGGAGAAAAGATACAGCTTGACGGTGGAGGAGACTATAGCATAGCCCAGCCCAGAACAGAAGAAGACAAAGAGCTCTTGTTGGTGGCCTATGCTCTGGCAAGGGATGATGATGATGATGATGATGATGATGATGATGATGATGATGATGATGATGATGATGATGATGATGATGATGATGATGATGATGATGATGATACAGCACTTGAGACGACACAGGATGATGGTCCAACATAATTTCCTTGCTCTGTCTGCAATTTGCCCTTCCTGCAGGACAATGTCAAGCAAGCGACATTTTCTATCGAGTTTCGCCGTTTTTCTGCAGGCACATTTTATCCTTCTCAATCTGGATTGACCCTGGCAGACAGAGTCAAAGCAGCCTGCCTCCTAAATGCTATATACAGTGTTGATGGGGGCTTAAAACTTGTACAATTATATATTACAACAACTGTTTTTACCCAAATTTTCTTCACAATTACTCTCCTTTACAACAAGTACTCACATTTCTTCCCCAGCTTCGAGCTTACCCTGTGGGCCCTGCTTTTGTTCTGACTGTTCCTGTTGAGATCCTTATTGGTACTGTGCCACTCAACTCCACCCTAGAACGTTATCTTTCCGCCCACCAAATGACTCCGCCCACCCCACGGCAACATGGCAGCAAAAGGGGCGGGGCCTCGGCATTAGCAGAAAATCAGAACAGACCACCCCAATACAGTGAGTATCTCTGGAATATTAATGTTAGCTCATAAATGTTCTAGTGTGTTTGAGTTACAGTTTTATATATATGGACACGGGGGGGGGATGGTGGGGGGTGGAGACAGAGAGAGAGAGACAGAGAGGGAGATGGGGGCGGGGGTGGAGGGGGAGATAGAGACAAATAAAGATGGAGACAGAAAGAGACAGGGGGGGGGGGGGGAGTCTACCTGTTTTCTATACTTCATACATTTATTCTACGTTCAGATGAGGTCATTCTCCTTTCCTGTTGGCCAGAGGGGAGGGGAGGGGGGATCTCTTTTAGAGTAATTCTGCTTGTTTCTTGACATGCTCTGTTTGTGTTTCTTATTTTGTTTTCACCCTGCCTTTTCTGACGTCATTATACCATGATTTGTTTTTCAATTTTAATTTAAATATTTGAAAACTGTCATCCCCTTAACACATCTTTGTCTCTCGCCAGTACCCCCCACATTCTCACCATCACCCATGTGTCACTTCCATCTCCATGACGACGAGGATGACCAGAGGACCAGTATGGAGGGCAGCTACGCACCAGCCTACATCACATTCAACTTCGAAGTCTTACAACCTCGACGTCAGCAAACTGTCAGATTTGCAACATGATAATCATTCATTCTCAAAAAATCCACTTCAACAACCAAAATAACCAACCCATTAGTCACATAGAGTGTATATATTCTTCACAAATTTATCACAAAATTGTGGAGTGGTAGAGTTACGAATGACTCCCAACCCTCCAATGACAAGCAAATGGCTTTTTGAGCCTTCTCAGCTGACTGTTTTCAGGTATTAAAAAATTTGCAGCGACAGAAAGTATTTATGGCATCATCTTGTGTGTCTTCTGATAGAGGAAAAGACAAGACATCAATATAATTCAAATTAAATTTTGAATGCTGAGCATAGACTAAGCGTTGTATTTGAGATCTTGTCAAATATTTATATTTTTGTATTCAACACAATTTGGATCAATAATTATGAAGGCGGCTTCTTTGAATCTGCTACATTGGTAAATATATATCTCCCAACAGAAGGGTGGAGAATCTCAAAACAATATTGTCTTAATGTTGGAACTGAGCTCTTGTCTTTTGCACGCAAGACGAAGAGCGTAACCTGTAAGCCACAGATGCTGGCCAACTCAAACAGAAAAATTGAATGTATCCCCATTTATATGCTAGGAATAAAGCGGAAACAAGATGCTGCTTTCATGTTGAAAATGCTCAAGACGTAGAAGGTCAAATCTTTCTTAATAAAGAATTCCTTTTTGCAGGGGTCTTGCTCACTCCAGATAGTAGGCCTACATATTTTTTAAAGTTTACATTGTTATGTATGACAAGCTTACTCTGTTCATGACTACAAGGACTAAGTTTCAGAAAAATCATTACAGATCCATACCATACCATATAAACTGATGACTGCTGGCAAGACAGTTTTCACTTTCAGTGTCAGCAAATAACAAAGGGTTCTTTTTAACGCTGCCACAAACACACAAACATTGCAAAAATGTGCTGTGGTCACAAAAAGAGATTTTCTTTGAGGGAATGATTGAGATAGATAAATATGTGTATGTGAGTGTTTGAGAATGTATTTTGTTTGTGTGTGATGTAAGCTGAGTGCGTGTGCTTGTGTGTGTGTATGTATACGTGTGGTGAGTGTGTATGTGTATGTGTGGTGAGTGTTGTTATAGGGCCTACTTTTGTAAGTGTGTCTGCAAGGAGGAAAGAGAGACAGTTTTTAAAAAAGACTGTAAATGATTTTCGTCTCCATCAACAGAAATTAGGTAAATTAAGAGATAAACCGCTTTGTCCCTGCCTGTCAGAAACAATTAGGCAAAGTGGGATACAATATCAGGCAGTCAGACAGAAACACTCGATAAAATGACTTCCCAACACGGACACTGAATTCATGTCTTTTGAGAGCAAAGGCCAAAAGTTTTACTGTTGCACAACTGATGGCAATTGGGGGAACCAGACAGTTACTTCAGACTTCATAAACACTACTAAAAGTGTGCAATGCCCTTGCTGTACCAGATGTATTGTAAGGCAATCTGAAGGGCAAGGGATAGGCCCTACAATGTTCTAGGAGGAAAACTGGCGAGATATGATATACAATACATACTGTGCATGAATGTGCAAAAACCAGAAAACAACATACCGTGGAACTCAGATTCTACAAAGTCGTCGGGCCTGGCCTTCAATTAAGTTGAATCCAAGTGTTCGTTATGGCAAATATAAGGTTTCTGTGTTGATAATTACAGGCACCGAGCAGGTACTGTATAATGTATTTGATTTTCTCAATCAAAGGTAGTTTGGTTTCAAATGAGAGGCATATGCGTTTCTTTGATACTAAAGATTTGCTGGAAGATTCCAGGAAAATACATTGAACTCTACCACTACCAGTACACACTGTGCAAAGGGGCCGATTTGTTCAAATACACACCTATGTCATCTATCATCTATAAACATATTGTTTGCCAAACAAGTTATGTTGTTGTGTAGAACCTAGTATATATGGCAACGTTTGATTTCACAGTTCAGTGCGCAATTCATTATATAAATCTATGTCAACTTATCATTGTAATGTTGATCAGTAGCCGGGGAAAAAAATAATTGTTGCGTTTGTTTCTCAACTGACGTTTCAAGCCCAGACCGTTTATACCCACTCCTCCCCCCCCCCCCCCCCCCCCCCCCCCCCCAAACACACGCACACTCACTCACACGTGTGCTGGCCGCCCGTCCGACCCCGACATACGCTAAGACACAGGTGCGTGATTACAACGTGTGTGTCGGTATGAAAGGAGGCCACTGCTTGGTCTCATTGATCAGTTCGCCCTGCAAGAGACTTCCTTGAATCCGAGCTTGCTCATTTGTGTGTTAGTTGAATCTGGGTTATTTTTATCGATTTTTATGAATTTAAAAAAATCGGGAAATCCAACTCCTTTCGTTGAATTCGAGTTTGTTGAAACCGATTTCCTCTGTACTACTCTAATTTCAAGAAGAAGAAGAAGGAGAAGAAGAGTGCATAAAGTCAAAAAGTAAACAAACAAAAAATGTTGCTGTATTATACTGTACAAAGCAAAGATAATGATATGCCAATGTATAGATGAAAGAAAACGTAAATAAACATTTTCGTATTTAGAGGAATTCCATATGTTTCAACCTCTTTCAGTCTCTTTTATTCCATTAACAAACCTTATTGCTTAATTTTGTAGAAATCAGTTTTTAGCGTTCCATTGAGCAGAAAATATAGGAGAGTGCTATCACTAACTTGGGAGCGCAAATCACTCAGTTGGTATCATGCTAGGTTATGGTGTGCCTGAGTGTGGCTTGAATCCTCAAAGAGGCGTTCTTGAATTTGGGTTGTTTGGGAAGTTTTCAAGACTTTCCACCCACTTTACTCAGTTCTGTTGGAGGTGGATGTTAACTTTGAAGGTTCCGCTTCTTAATTAACATTACAGTGTTGCAGGGGATGTTTTTTAAATAATCATTAACTAATTGAGACCGCAGGTTTTGGCCTCTAAATGCAGCATTTTGGGGCGTATTTAGGAAGTGTTGTAGAAGCCCTGTATAAGGTAGAAAGCAAATAGGGTATTTACAACTTTATACTTTTCTCATCTATTTCAACTTGAGCCAAAAACATACTACTCTTATTTCAGGAGCTACATTTCTTTAAAGAGATACAACGTTAAAGTTGTTATTGATTTTCATTTGCTTTGCAAAACACACAGACTAAAATTAAATTACTTCATATACAAAGGCCAAGAATTTTTTTAATGACTCATTTCAATTCCACAAGGTCTTTTTATATAGAAGTAATTTTAGTAGAAAAGGCTGAATTTCTTTTATATACGAACTTGCCTCTTTTCATTTCCTTGTGATCTTCTTGGGGAGAAAAGAGTAAACACTGCCACTGAGATACACTTGTACTTGTAGCTAAGCACTTTGTTATAGAACATGTCTGTCACATAAGAGGGTCAAAATTTGAATCATATCACCTAACAGTAAAATGAACCAATCTTCACAAATTGTATTTTTCCAAAGGTATCCATTATAAAAGTAAAAGAAAGTAAGCGAGTCTGAAGTTAATTTAAAGATTTATTCAGTTGCTCTCGGTAGTATATGATATTCAAAATGATGTCAGAATTTTAATGCAGGTTCACGGGCATTAATTTTTAAATATTCTGCAACAAAAAAAAGGACTAAAAGCATAAAAGCACATATATATATATATATATATGATTAATTTCTAGACAAAAGCATCTCCTCAGATACACGTTCAACGTTGTAAAAATTGCAGGCAAAAGAAATTGCTTTAATAGTAATGTGACGAAAACTGTTGAGAAAAGCCTTTATGACAAATTGTTTTTGTCAGAAACCTTGTAAATCTTATACTCAATAAAAGGAATGATTATTTTCTGCCTATATGTTTTTTGTCATATGCAACATTAACTCTTTCAATCAAAGAACACAAAACTTTGCGGTAACAAGAATTTCAAATGATACTTAAAAACAAAATTGCTGTAAATAATCTTACATTAAAGTTAAGATTACTTTAAATAGCACTGGTTCAACAAAAATCACTCAATTTCAGCATATTTTGCGTAGTGTGGTAAAAATAACACAGCTGTATACACCAGTTGGCTAAGTTATTTAACATAAATATAAGATGAACATCTTCTTCAATCATTCAGTTATTGTTCTTTAGAATTCCTTTAAAGAAATTCCTGCTCTGACAGACATATATGTACAATTTGGGACTTATTCGTAAGCTAATCACTTGTTTAGTCCACACTTTCATCCAGAGAATAAGTGTCTTGTGCCGCTGTAAAACTGCTTTTTTCACATATCACGTTATTTGTTTTTGTTTTACGATGTCTTGTACAGGCTTCTCTTCACAAGTTGAACAGAAATAATACAATTTCAACCAAATCAAATTTTGTCTCATCTCCATATTTTTCAAATGTTACAGTCACTGTTTCAGGTTACGCATGGCTTTCATTTTTCTCTGTTTCATTTTCATCGCTTTCTGTTTTCTCTTTGTCTTCATCTGAAACAGAATTGAAAAACATGAAATTAAGAGTATTTGTTTTAATATCAAGAAAAAATATAGTACAAAAATTAAGCACTAGCAGAAATTATCAAAAACTGAAGAGTGTTTGTACCTTTACAATATAAGTAGAAACTTCAGCTGTACTAGTGATCTCCTTCAAGTTGCTGAGATTTATGTGAAATGAATTCCACCCACAAAAATATACTAATGATATAACAAATAACTAATTAGTTAAAATGCTTGGACAAGATCAGTGAATAATATGCAGATAAAAAGCTGTCTCTGTATGAAGATTTGTTTTCTTTTGCATGATATAATATTTATAGTGTAAGAGAAAAGAAAGAAAAAGAGAAAAGAAAGAGAAAAAGACTCTCTTCCTCCAAACTGAGGCACAGTTTGCTAAAAGGCTGAAATTAAAGAACTTGTAGTCATAATGATGCAAAATAGTCAAAAATTAAATGAAAGGACAACTAATTATCAAGAGGTAAAATATCTGACGGTGATGTACTCTGTAGTAGAATATCTCCAATATATCAATATATTTTCATACCTTTTTTTTGTGTAGGATATTTTATGGATTATGCGGGGAGGTAGGGGTGGGGGGTGTTGATAGAGAAGTTTTTTTGTGACCTCTCTGAAGAAAAAAGTGGAAATGAAACATCTTCCCCTGCTGTATTCATGTTCCGAGGTCAACATTTCTAAATACTTAACAAATTTCAAAGGCTTGTAAGTAACTGTATCTATTCACCTTATTGAGCATGTTGCTTTTGGCATACCGCATGCATTATTTACACAACTTGTTGCTGTTTGTTTATATATATTCATTTGCTGGTGCTTTTATGATTTAAACAAGCTCATGAAAAAAGATTAAAATATGACAAAAATTTCAATAAACAACTCTATTGTAATGTACCACTGAATTTGGAAACTGTATTGTTTTTGTTTCTAGTTCTAGAGTTTGTTTTCGTTTCCTAAGAAGATATTTGTAAAGAGCTCAGTCAGTCAATTCTGGGTATGAAAGTCCAGACATATAGGCCTACTTATGTGTTTAAAAACATTATTATTGATGAGTAATTCCAAACTGTAATGCACTTAAGTGCATTAACATTTCAGGACTACTGTGACATTATCAGTCTGCAAAATAAGAAAGGCGAATCTATTCCCGAACCAAGGCGGATTATATTTATAGTATTCATCATGCTAAATAAAGCAATGTCATTCCAAAGCACCTGTACCAGAAAGTTATAGGAGCGTTAAATAACTTAAGCTTGAACTTTTCCTTCAGTGAATTACATGTTGAATAGTAAACACAAACCAGGGTTTAAAAACTACAGACAATACTGACAAATGGGTAGCAACAATGTACATAGCAATATGTCTCTGGTAAGTACAAAGGGCCATATGTACATCCTAAGCTTGATTACACAAGTTCATGCTTCTTGTATGGATGCAAACTTATATGAACTAACAAGTTCATGTTTTCAAGGAGGGAAAGGGCATATTCATTAAGTTTCAGAAATCTCCAGTTGCTTCAAAAATGACTGGACCGTACTTGGTATTTTTGTTCTTTGACTCACAAAGTATGTCATTTTTTAGATAAGGGAAGTAAGGTATTTGATTAATTTAATCTGTTAAGTTCCCCCCCCCCCCCCCCCTCAACAACTGCAGTGATATTGGATACATTGTTAAGAAAACAAAGCCAACACAAAATTGACATATCCTATCGTTAGATTCCTGTCTTTGTATGCACCCATTTCTTTTCTACATGTACTTTTCAAGTACAAAAATATGTCTTGATTAAGAAGCGAAAAATCAGAGAAGCCAAAAGAATTACTTCAGAATTTCTATTGGAATTTTTAACAAATGCAATAAAGTTAATAAGTTCCTCTAAAAATTCCAAACCATAAAATAAGCAAAACAATCTACCAATGCCAATACCCAAACCGTACTATCTATTATTGTTTAAGAAACCTTTGCAAACTCTTTTTCACCAAATTATATCGGGAAGCAAGGAGACAGAAAAATTCACAGTATATATCTCTTGTACAACTGTGGATCAAGAACCACTGCGGATAACACTATGACAGCCAGTTTTCTTATTAAATGTACTGTGAACCAGTGTCTCTGTGTGACAGTAGACCACTCTAGCAAGAACTGCGGGAGAAATAACTGATGGTTCAATGAAACTCACTGCCAGTTGGGTGGGAATCACGTTAATTTGGTGCAGGGCATCATCCCTTCATTTCTGAGCTGACTATTGACAAAAAGTAGTCAAGTCTTTATGAAGATACTTTCATTGAATGAAACTTGAAATCATGAATGAGTTTTACTTTAGTACGGTCAAAAATTCAAGGCGCAACTTATCCTAAAATATCTCTGTAACAGGTGAATCACTGTCATCCTACTTTGCACAGCAGTTTGAATCGAGTTGTCTTAACTTAATCATATTTTTTCCATAATAATTGAGACTAGACTTTAAAACTTTTCTTCATAAATTTATAAAAAAATACTATAAATCTCCGTCAAACGGGATTGTTCACAGCACTTCCTGCTTCTCACACTCATTTTGTATACGCATAGCCTACGTCACAGCCCACCAATGACACTTTTTAGTACCAAAACTCGTTACAAAAAAATAAATGTAATAGTGAACACATTTTTGCACTAAAAGTTCTCAAAACATTTGTTCAATAGGCATAATATCGCGATTAGAAAAAAATGACAGACTTGCTTTTAAAATGGATATTGCCCCAGCTGTAAACCTTTTAAAATCTGTAGAAACTTCACACTTGGATTTTTAATTAGTGTTTATTACGAAATTTTCTAGAATAATAGCTAACAGGTGTTTAAAAAAATGTTGATCTGTTAAATTGATACAATAGTCATAGTGCAAAAGAAGGAAAGTCTATGTTCGATAGTTTAGGGAATATTTGACAATAAGTAGCGCCAGGAATTTTTTACTGCACCATATATTATAGACCTACAAGTTATAGTATGGGCCTTGGGCAAATATTTTAATAGGAGACATAGAGTAAAAATGATTAAGTCCAGGTAACTTGTTCAAATGTTGCCCTTTCTTTTTTATCGTAATATTAAAATCTTTTTTCGCGAGAGTGCGATGACAAGAAAAAGTGCTCACAAACATGATTGTCATGTAATAACCTGACTTAAATTGTAATTTTCAATCAAAATAAAAAGGTATGGTTTTGAAAAGCAAGCTTTGAAAATATGCAAGCACAGCAAATAACACTTAAAAGGGAAAACCTTTACTCATGCTATATTATAATAATAATTGTCAGTGTCAGGGCAAAAGCATACACACATCATCATATTGAACCGAGTATAGTTGAATCACATTCAGGTTATGGTGAATCAAAAATGCATTCAACCTCTTGTGAATTGAAGATCTTTCTCACTTTCCCTCTCAACTGCTGTTTCAGCTTCCTCTGTATCATCAACTGTTGGTTCTTCGTTTTTGGCAACCGGATTTTCTTTTTCCTCAACCTGCTGTTCTTCATTTTCTGCACTGGGTTTCTCTTTATCATTGTCATATTCCTCTTCCCCACTCTCAGCTAATTGAAATGAGGTAAAAATAAACCCATAAAACTAAAGCAAAACAGGGACTCTTACTGAAGTAAGCGAAAGATTAATCATGAGAAAGTAAAATTTTCTTATGGCTGATATAAAAGCAATGAGAAAATGAACAAGTGTTTTAACATTCTTTTTTTCTTTTTTAGATGTGAAAACCTTTTTTGAAAAAAGAAGTCAGGAAGAATAATGCTTTATCACTTAAAACAAAAACAATCAAGACAAAATTTGTTCAGTCAGGTGGTGATGTATATTTTGTCAGAAACTTTTCTGACAGACATGTACTTTTAGGGTCTATAAATGACCAACCATACAAACAGTGATAAAACATCAAAGTTGTGAACAACACTGACAGGGTGGAATAATAGGTGAGGGAAGATACCACTTTTGCTGCATAGAGGACAGTTGTAAGATATGGAAAGTAATGTTTTGATACCTTCTCTGTCTCTACATAAAGAAATAATTTTAAAGTGAAATTTTAAGAATCTCTGAATTTATCTCACAAAGGATCCTAACAGAGAGTGACAAAAACCGCCACCATTACAGTCAAACCCCATTATACCACCTACTTTGGAATGAGCATGAGTTGCTGGTACAGCAGGGCTGGCGGTACAACAAGGTTTTCATGTTCACTGCTAAATACATGTTGCACCGACTGTCCAACGTTTACCGATTTGTAGTGGGGGGCACGAGAAAGCGAGGTTCCTTTAAAGCCTTCTAGGCGACTTGAAAATTTAATTCCATTTTAATGTTACATTGACTGAGGCCTAAATAGAATAGCATTTTCATAATCAGTGCATCAAATTTAGTTGGATTCCCGTGGGAAGCGAAATTTGATGTTAAATTACAAAGTTATGTTTTATCTTAATTATATTCTTTTACATTAAACATTGTATCGTGTTCATTTGTGACACACTACATCACTCTAGATCTCCTTATTGCCCCAAATCTACAAACAAGGGTAGCCTAGGGAGGTGAGATTATAGGCAAGGAGGGAGCAAATCGGCAAAAAGCATTTGACCTAGCCAAGACCTAGGCCTAGCTCATAGACTTGTATGTGAAAGATTGTCAAGCAACCACAGAGTGGATGTGCCGTGAGCCACGTGTAGCCTAGCGTGTACTGTGTACTTCTGGTGACCTGTTCATTGGCGGTACAACAGGGTAAATTTAAAGTAGTTTAAGAAGGACCGTACAACGAGGCAGTTGGCGGATGCTATAAAGGCGCAAATGCTATGTTTATATAGGGGACTCTTTTTGTACATTGGAAAAACCTGGCAGTAAGCAGGGCTGGCAGTACAACGAGGTTTGACAGTATCTTCTTTTCTCTTTAAGATAAATATTGTAAAATTTCCTGTCACATCAAATATACACACGTTGTCTAAAAACAACTAGGATGTATGGGTAATGGTAAAATGAAGTAAAGAAAGGAAAAAAAAAAGAATCATTGAACCAATAGCTTTCAAATAAATACTTCCCAAAGCAAGTATTACAGCTCCATCAAAATAAACAAATAAAAGAAAGAAGCATCACTACAGAAATAAATCTTGAGTGCTAATAACGTGGGAGGAAAACAAAGCAAATATTTATTTTCATTAAATGATGAACACAAAGTAAACAGAAAATTGTCTAAAACAGCGACCCAAAAAAAACACCAGTGGGCTACTGAATCAACCTCAAATAAAACAAAATTATAATAACAAAAAGTGATTTGTTATGACTAATATTTAACAAAATACATGCAATTTCTCACCGCTGCCATTTTATAGGCTATCATTTTTTCTTGCCTTGATGAAAAGAACAATTATACTAAATCAGAACTGCTATGACATATTAATAATGGTTTGAAATGTTTGGGGGTTTTTATGTTAAAAATTTAATACATCATAACATAACAAAGTTTATATAAAAATACACAGAACCATGACATCCAGACATCCAGACAATGACATTGTCTGTTTAACATATTGTACTTCATGCAAATATTTCTCTTTTGAGTTCATTCATCAATCTGCAACTCCAGTCGCATGAACTCCCATTTTGGCTTTACCTGAACTCATAAATAAATTCTAGAAAAGTAACCTTATTCTAGAACATTGCTTTTCTACGCTCAGATCAGTTTCAAAGAACTGCAACGGACGCTCAGCACGTCAAAAGCAAAAGCCACAGTCGCGTCAACGTTGTGAAGTATTTCAACCTAAAGATATAATTGAATAGACCTACATTTTTCACTTCAAAAAAAGACATTAACAAAGATTATACAAACAATAACATACCTTTCTTGTCTTTCCCTTTCGAATTTTCTGTTAGAAGAAAACAATTGAAAAATTGAAAAATTTTAGAAATAAAATATGCTGTGACTTTTCACTTATATTTTCTCTTTCTAAAGAGAGATATTATTGAAATATTAGAACTGCAATTTTTTAATGTCTATCTGCTGTACAGAATGATAGGTTCAAGGATTAAAGAATAAAACAACTTTTTCTTTCACTTCTGTCAATGAAACATTTATGTCACAATATCACTCTTCCTGAAGTAAAAAGAATACACATGTCTAAGTTTTTACAAAATTCAAATAGATTATTCCCAAGGCACAGCATGCTACAGGCTCTGTGATAAAAATACAGGAAAAGGACAAACAAAGGAAAAACAGATTATAAAAAAAGAAACCGTCAACAAATTGACAATCGTGCTACTCCATCTTTCCAGATGGGTTGGATCTCCTGTTGGTGTTCAGAGGGTTTTTTTTCATTATCCCATTATTCCCAGGCCTGTTGAGGGGCAAGTGGGTTACAAATTTATCAAATAGTATGGTTTGACCTAGAAATAATGTATACAGCTAACATGAGTGTTTCTCAAGAACTTTTCTTTCATCAATCAACAATTGTACAACTTTTCCTTTTACGTCAAAACACTTCTTTCTTTTTCTTTGGTTTGATTTTTCCACCTGGTCCATATTCTAAGAAAGAAATATAAAACACTGTGCCCACTTAACCATGTGTCTGACAATAGTCACAGAGGTTTTTTTCTAATAGTTGCATGCCAAAAAAATTCAAAGGTAAATGTCAACAGCTAAATATTTTCATAAAACAAAAAATAATAAATGTAGGTTTCTTTTGGCTCCATGCCCCTTCTCAGGGTGCTGAATTAAAGATTGTATTCATTTCAAATATGGATTAATCATAAAAACTCATTAAATAACAACCAAAACTGCATCAAAATAGAAAATATTAAGCAAAAACTAGAGGTTATCCTTAAGTTTCTAAATGAAAGTCTTTTTCAAATATGTTTTGGGACAGTCATATAATTTAACCCCACTCCAAACTCGATGTCCATACATAAATGAAAATATTCTTAAATCAAAGGTAAATTATTTGTCGAATTTCCAAAAAAAAAAAAAAAGAATAAGAAAAAAGAAAAAGTATTCAAGAAGATGGAGTGTACCTTCCAGCTCCTCATCTACAACTGACTCTGCATCAAAGTCATCCTCGTACGTCTTTTCATCTGTTGTAGTTTTCAAAAGCAGGTGCAAAGATTAGATACAATAAGCAGCACTATAAGATGGCCGAATGGAGGAGAGAAAAGCTGAGGCAAACAGTAGTACAATGGTCCTTGTTTAACAACTCATTATCTGAGATCACAAAACAGATTCCCCTCCCCCCCCCCCCACCCCCAACCAATTTCCCACTTTTTCCTCCTGAAAAAAAAAATGTAAAAAGGTTTTGTTAGACAGGGACCACTTTAGCTACAAGTATGTATGTATATAGGTTTATTCACTGCATTAGTCACACAAAGATGCCAGCAAACGAAGCAGGAAAATTCACATTTGATAGGTTATTGATTCTTTATTATGCCTGCAACACAAGCAATGTCGTTCCAATAATAATATTTCAAAAAATAGTAGTACCCAATATAGCTTGTTCACTTTCATCTATCCGCATTAAAAAAAATTCTAGCTCATTTATCAATTTACCTACTTTTAAAAAATTTGCTGGGCACTGCTGCATGTCAGCGACTAAACAAAAATACTGTTTAAAAAAATCTATATCTAGTTACAAAAAAAGTTTTTTTTATTTGGGTCTTATATCAATAACTGCTCTCTGGGTGAATACGCAGGATCACTGAAGTAAATGATTTACAGTAACCTAGCCAACAAATAGCTAATTTTAAGAGAGCAGCACCACCCTAGCTGCCCCCATATTTCAGAGTAAGCTTGAAAATTTCATCCCACGACTCACCGCTCTGTTGGACCATTTTCTTAGGTGTACATTAAAGTGTGGTGTTGATTAACCTGTCAATTTGTTAATGTTTTAAGAGTATGCTGTGGATCCTCTATTATTTCACTGACCCGCTTCAGGCTAACGTCAAAGAAAACATGTCCAAACCTTATTTTACAGTGACCTTATAAATGGATTTTTAGATTCTGTTGTTCCTCCAACTTTTAGACCCGTATGCAAAGAGCTGAGAAGATACAACAGAGCGATTCCTTTTTATCTTGTTATTACCTCAGTCAGACTAAAGTGAACAAGCTATATTTCATAATCTACCTAAAAAGCAAATGAGAGGATAGTGTACATGTGTGTGTGTGTGTGTGTGTGTGTGTGTGTGTGTGTGTGCATGTGTGTGTGTGCATGTGTTTGTGTGTGTGTGTGTGTGTGTGTGCATATGCATGTGTGTGTGTATGTGTGTGTGTATGTGTGTATGTGTGTGTGTGCGTGTGTGTGTATGTCTGTATGCATCTAGGTTTATGTGTAGTGTGTGTGTGTGTGTGTGTGTGTGTGTGTGTGTGTGTGTGTGTGTGTGTGGGTGTGTGTATGTGTGTGTGTGTGTGTGTGTGTGCATATATCATCAGCAAGTTGTTCAACTGTTCATAGCCCAGAGAGCAAATGTTTTACAGGAGAAAGAAAAATCCTTTCACTTGTTGTAAAAAATTGTACTTACATTATGTTTCTTTTCTTGCTTTCTTCAACATTTAGAACAATTTGAATTTTGACAAAATATTGCTCAAGAATATGCAAACAATACCACAGAATAAGAATCCACGTTTTTTTTTTAAATTCAATATTTTGGGCTCTGAACTTGAGAATAACTGGCAGACGATACACACACACACACACACACACACACACACACACACACACACACACACACACACACACACACACACACACACACACACACACACACACACACACACACACACACAGATAAGTGTTTGAGCAGAAAAATGAATGATGAAGTCTGTTTTTGAACTGACACTTAATGATGATGATATCTAAGCATATGTGTACACAGAGCAATGTATAACTGTTACATGGAGAGAGTTACAGTGGTGGCAAGATATACGGCTAATAATGATGGGGAAAAAAGTTTACTAAAAGTTGAGCTTCCTTTGGATTTGAAAAAAAAGTTCAGCGAATGACAAACTGATGCGCATAGAAGGTTGAGAGAGGGTATGATAACACACACAGCAGGAAAAGGAATGAGATGATGTAAAATCAAATAGGGGTACCAGTCTCCAACTGCCTGTACCCAGGGTCTATAATCATTTGAAAATGCTTTCCCAGACCTTTGAGATTTTGATCAGTCCAGAATATTAAATGGCAAACCCATAACTGAATGTAAATATCTACACTAACATCAAACACTTAAAGGAGAGTACTGCCTGAGACCAGGACATTTTAAAACATCTTAGTTTACAAGTAATGAGAAATAAAAATTGCTCCCTTCATTTTTACATGTAGCCTAGTGTTTTTCTCCTTTCAAATGTTATGTTAAACAGTAGTATTATGAAGTCCCCATAGGTTATAATTGAAAATAAGGTTTAAATTGTGAATGCCTTTATTTTCCAATGTTTTTCAAGTTTCCTTCTCATGATCATGAATAAAGAACACTTTTCTACTTTTCTAATGAAAACAAAGTGTGCTTGATGAAACAGTATTCTCTCCCTTTCCTAAGTCTTTACTGCATGTACAATCACATGCACATAAATTAACACAGACACAAACTCATAAACGCACAGCCCGGGACACATACACAAGCACCTCCAAGATCGTGCACAAACAACATCACTCCCTTGGGTCTGCAAGCACGGTCTTTCACCGTATCCGTACGCCCTGGGGTCATTTTGTGCTCCCGGGGTTGTATTCTTCACATTTTAGAATACTTCTAGTACGAAGATCTCTTTGAAACTTTCAATATTTCTCAAAAAATCATTTTAACAGACTGCTATGCAAAGCGTACGGATCGGATTAACAAGTATATTTCCTCTTTGAAAAGTGGTGGCACAGAGTTCCCGAAATCGTATGGATGCGATAGTAAAGCACGCCGTACGGATAGGGTTAAAGTTAATATAAGAAGCAGTTGTGGCATTTTCTGTTCATGTGAATAACAATGTAATTTTACAAATAATTAGTCCTATCTCGCCATTTCAGGGTATGAAAGCTTTTTTGAATTAGTGTCTGCAAATAGAATACAGAAACACAATATTTCTTAAACTTACAATTGAACTGACTGTGACCAAAGAGTAAACAAAGTATGAGTATATATATAGATATAAGTGAAGCAGTCCATGGCAAATTATAGGTACAGGGAAAAAAATGAAATGGTGCCAGTATTTTCATCCTCAGGAAGAACATGGGAAAAAGGTAACACGAAGTAAAGAAATGGATATATAGGGGTTGAAGCACAACGCAAAGAGAGCAGATGATGCAGCGTTAAGAGTTATTATGCAAGGTGGAAAAAGCAACGGATTGATCTCACATGTTAAAGTTGACAAAGTTCTTGTTGGTTTTTCACAGCAAATGATTAGCAAATTCAAGCAATGTAATTTTGAGCTGAAACAGAAATATGATCAAGTAAGTTTTTAGTATTTCTGAAACCTCAGACAACAAGCACTGCACCTTTAGGGCTATCTGCACGAGGGGAAGACTTCTTCCCATCTTTATCTTTATCAGATCCTTTTGGAGCAGGAGATTCTCTGTCTCTATCGGGTGAGCGTCGGTCATCTTCTTTGTCCTGCTCATCATCCTCTTGGCCTCCTTTCACAAGCCTGTCATTCACCTGTAATAAGCAAAACAAAACAAAAATAGTTAAAGAAGTTTTACAAATACAGAAAAACAAGCAAGGTAAGATGACTATCTTTCACGTCTATAAAAGGCTGTCAACTTACATAACTGGTTGCTATGGTAAGGCATAAAATGAGTTGCAGCTGGTGTGTGACACAAACATCCCTTTGGATTTCTAAATCAGTGCAAATCTCAAAGAGTATACTTCTTCAGCTTTGAGGGGACTCAAAGGTATTTTTTCTCCACTTGCAATCCTTGCCAAATGGCTTTACGGTGTAAGTTCAGTTGAGTTGAAGAAGGATACTGTCTAATACAGTTTCTTTATACTGGCTCATTAGTGGGACTTTTAGCATTTAGCTACATTTGTTTTAGTGTGTATCTTTAACAATTTTTCTTTCAAGTTAAAGAAGAAAAAAGACCTTAGCATCGATAGCATGTCCCCTCACCTCATTGACAGATTGAAAGAGTTTTCCTCATTCTATTCTTCAATAAAGAAGAAATAGTTGGAACGGAACACTGCTATATGAGAAAATTAGTTACTTTTTCACAATAAAAAGGTAAAGAAATATGAAAAATGATACCTGCTCCTCTGCAAGTGGAGAGCGTATGAGAAGGAGGGGGCGAAGGGGGGTTCCATAACCATGGCAGGTTTTACAACTAATGCAATTCCACTATCACTGCGTGAGCATCAGACACTAAATCAAGAACATTTGATCAAAGGTGCATTTTCATGTATTTAAATCTCTCATCACCTCTTCCAAAGCCTTCTTGATTGCTGATTCAGCTGATCGGTCCTCTTGGTCTTCTGCCAGTTCTAAAGCACGAGTGAAAGTCTCTGAGGCAGCTTCCAACTCACCACACTTAACTGTGGAGATACAAGATGAAATATATGAGTGAAATAATGAAAATCTTTTTGAGAGAACGTATAACAAGCTTCAAAAAAGGGAGGACGCATTAACAAAGTACCTTAACTTCCTGCCATTCTGCAGCACTTGAACAAATCTTAGAGGCAGTTTCTAATTTCATAAACTTAAATATGTGGAAATAAAAGATGAAACACACAGGAATAAAAACTGTAAAAAAAATCAAGAATCTACCACTAACTTCTGTGGAGGGAGATTCAGTACAGAAGTTTGGAGGGCACCACTGGTTAATCCTACCTTTAGTTTCCCACTGTTCTTTCTGTTCATCTATCTTACTTTTTCCTTGCACTAAATGACCATCTTTGTCGCATTGGATTTCTCTTTTCAGTTTCAGACTCAATGAGAAAAAATAACAGGCAAGACGTATGAAATATTGGACGGATCAAAAATAATTTTTAATCTTTGCTCATTGACCACAAATGTTGTGCTTTCGTAGCCCACACAAGAGCAACAACCATTTGGATTATAGCATACTAACAAAACGAAAAAATAAAAATAAAATCCGGTCTTTCAAGGGACGATAAACCTCCACAAGAAAGTTTTCTTTATGATATCTTAAACTTAACAAAAAATACCTTCTGATTGAGCAATAAGTACGCATGCATGTAGCTGCCATCCTGCATCATCTGCCTCTTTGGCAGCTGCCAATGATTTTTCTCCATAGTCTTTGGCATCCTGGTACTCTCCAAGCTCAAGGTGGCATCTGCCAATCTCATGGTAGAGCCAAGTACTCTCCAGGGGAGATTTACTCTTGGGGAGTTTCTTCTTCCAGCTGAAATTGTCAAGTTGTAACAACGGCATGAGATCAAGTGATAAAGCAAGTTTTCAAAATACGTAAGCGCCAGGATGTGGTGGAATCAGGCACTCGTCAATTTTTGGTAACTTGAAGTTATTGGTATCATCTTAAAGCCCATTTATTTGCCTTGCTTTTAGTGAAAAAAATATCCATTCATCAAGAACAGAAGTCGAGCTATTTGCCATTGAAGGAGAAAGGGGTCACCAGGTTTCATAGGTAATATTAGTGAGAAAATGGCCGCTGAAGTTTGGTGCCATAACTTGAGAGTCCTTTGAAACTTAATCAACCTTTTTCAGTAAAAAATACACAGAAATGTGTTTTTAAAAGGACATAAATGTGTAGGGCTAAAAAAAGAATTTTTTTTTCTAATTGTTCAACGGTCAAAAAAATGCCAGCTTCTTGGATTACATTATTTTGACGAGCGCCTAATTTCACCTCACATATTCAAATATTGTCAAAGTTTTTACAAAACATACTGCAAGTACAGTTACTTAATCAAATGCAGCAGTGTACTTATATCATTTGATTTTTTAAAAGCCATTATAATCTTTGGTTTGTGTTCCCAAAATGAAACAATGGGTCTATTCATAAATGCTTTACAACCTCACTAACCTGTTTAAAATCATTTATGAGGCAAGCTGATTTGACCTCACTAGTAAGGTCAAGGTGGGCTGTTTGAAATACATATTAGTAGAAAGACAAAGCTATGGCACAACACAAACAAGAAAGAAAAAGTTCCACAAAACAAATTAGAACCAGACATCTTTCAAAAGTATTAAACTAAAAGAAAACTCACATTTCAATGGCTTCTCCAAAGTCACCCATTTTTGCACAAGTTCTTCCCAGGTTATCTAAAGCTCTTGATTCTGCCTCCTCAAGATTGCTGCCAAGAGACAAGATGGATCATGATGAACGTAGTTACAAATTCTCAAAATTGTAATTATCAAATCAAAATGAACATGTCTGTCTGCACAAAATCAGGATTTGTGAGGGGATTATCATATTAGACATGAGTTTTGAATAGCTGTGAGTTTTTGCTGTATGTTTTTCAAAAGTTCTACAATTCAAGTTCTATTATTATAATTTCTTCTTTTATGTTCTAGGAGTTACAAGATTAAATTGCGCTTAGAGCCTATTAAAAAAAATATACATAATCTATACAAGAACAGAAAACAGCTTTCTGAATTGCAAAAAAAAAGCAACTGTTATGATTTGTACTTACTTATCCTTTGCAATACTGAGGTCCTTTTTGTGACAGCTAAGAGCATCTGCATACATGTTCATTTCCAGATATGCATTACCCATGCAGCTGTAGAGATTTGCCATGACATCAGGCTTGTTTTTCAGCGAGTCTTCAGATGTTTCTTCCACTCGTTTCAGGGTTTTCTTTGACTTTTCTAAGCTTTCTTCATATTTGCCTTCAGCTTGAGCTTAAAGAAAAAAAAAGAGAAACCAATATATTTTTTCTTCTGTCTTGCTTTTTCTGCTCTACAATACAATTTCTCTGAGGAAATTTAGGTGACAATAAATCACATATTTTTTTGTTTGGGAGAATAAGGCGGCCTGCATATAAGGTTCAGAATCTGAATATACAAACAGATTTTGAAAAAACTGGGTACCCATACACGTGCTTTGTATTTTTTTTTAAAACCCACTCATTATGTTCAGTTCCGATAGGTTTACCGTTTAATACTCTTAGCCATGGGAGGTCAGCCTTTAAGTTCACTTGCTAAAATCTCTTTATAAAAACTAAAATCAGAAAGTACCTTCATCAATCTCAACAAGTTTTTGCAGCACGTATTTCATTGGATCTCTTGGTCCCGCAGAATGAGCGGAGCGGGCCTGGCGATCTCGCTTGCGAGCGTACATCGGCTTCTGCTGTCTCCAAAAGTCTGACCTGACCGTAAGATACTCCAAACCATCACAAGCACGCCCTTTGATATAGGAGTCAGTCTGAGTGCTGCTGTGGGACAAACCTAAAAAGCAAAAAAGAATCAGCTGAAAGTACCAGTATTAACATTAGACTTATGAAATAAATCGAAACAGAAATAAAACTGGCTTGAAAAGATGAAAATGACATCAGTGAGCAGGACCCTCCTCATGCCCATTTGTTCTTCAAGCAAGAATGATGACTTGTGGTTTCCTTTCTGACAGGAGAGGTAAGATGTTTAACAGTAAGGCAGTTTTGCTTCTTTTTTTTTTTAAGCATGTGTATAAAAAAGGCAAACTCTTGGTATGACAGATAACACAGCAAAATAGTCCCTAGTTTTAAAAGACAAAAAGCAAAGCAAATGAGATCAAACCACCTTCAAAACAAGATGACAGAACCAGGAAGCTCTCCGAAAAAATGTTTGAAACACCTGCATGACTAGCTAAACTACAATCTTACTGTCAAAGAGCTTTTCCAGGTATTCCTTATCTCTATACAGTTGTCCCAGAAGCTCTTTGGTTGTCTTTGTATTGCTACCATCTTGCGGCTTCTGTCTTTCCTTCCTTTCTTCTTTCTTTTGAGCTTGGCTTACTTTCGTGTAACCTTTCTGCTGTTGTTTCTGTTTCTGCGAAGATCACAACAAAACAAAACAAAACATCTTAAAAAAGGCAAATTAAAACTGGACCCTAAATTTCTTTTCCCTAGCATTCAAAATTCAATATAGCAGTATATATTTAGATATTTCTGGAGCTCCATCATCACTTTTGAGTTTGTTTTCATAAAAACAACAAAGGAACTTAATATTCTCCATAAAGACAAACTAAAACCAAACATTCATTTGCTACGATCTCTACATTCAAAATTCCATACAACTATGTTTATGTAGAGATGTCTGTCTCCATATCATCCTCTTACCATCTCTCTTGAGGCACAGGTGCAAAAGTTGAGATAACCTCTTTTGTCATAATACCACCACTAAATATATTTGTACATATTCTACCAAAAGAGCAGTAATAGAATTGTTACCAATTCAAAGAAGTAAATGCAAGCCCCATGTTGTTTCTTCTCAGTACTGACTTGAGAAAAGCATGGGTAATGCCCCAATACTTCTTATAAAGAAGGTGGAAATAGCTACATTGAGGGCTTAAATGATGTTTCCTCAAATAAAAAGAACAAACAAAACATGAGTCAAGGAAGTCAATATTAGAGAGTAGAACTCCTCAGGTGTTCAAACTTTTATGATTAGAGTACATCGTTGTTAGGTAGAATTTCTATTACTGTATTTAAAACTGTAGATGGGATGAAAGTCTACAGTACAAGCCCATTCAGCTATTTTCCATGAGTACAACTGGTACTTAAGACTGCCCCTTTGACAATCCCCCTTTTTTTTAAGGTACAAAAATATCGAGGAGGAAGAAAATTCATAACGGTGCAAATCTTCACCCAGGCATCCGCTTTTACTTCAAACCAGGTTCTAAAGTATAACAGAACTTTTTCAAAAGAAGAGTTCATTGAAAAATAAGATATGTCATGTTTTTTAAGTTTTGAAGAATTTTTAACTAAAATAAATGTGCAGAATCATAGTGAATTATCTGGTCAAGTTAATCCATAAAATCTGTGAAATATCATTATCTCCTCTTTTGCCCTGATATATTCAACAATGGTAGTTTCATTTCCCTTTAAGAACTTAAAAAAATAGGTTCACAAACCACAGCTTGAAAAATTGTGACTTTATGACATATTCAGTCCTCCGTTGGGTTCTTCAAATGTCAACCATATTTGCTTTCTTTGGCTTTATAATTTCCAATTGAGTGAATCTTGAGTAGGAAAAAAAATTATCATTTCTGGACTAAGCCTATGTAATAGTACAAAAAAGGAAAAACAGTGATCTGCCAACACCACCTAGCTTTATATTAATAAGATGACTGAATTGTATAAACCAACAATTGCAATTAATATTGGTCTTTGAAATTCCAACATACAAATCACCAAACAAAAGAGATATATGGGCAAATATGTCTCTCGAGGTTATCCAAACAGATCATAATGTTTTTCTCAAAGTGAATTGAAAGTCTATTAGTCTAATATGAATATGTTCAAAACAAACAGCTCATAAATCTAACGATATGGAAAACTTAAGACACAAAGAATAAACTAACATCATTTGTAGCAATCTGTTTCTTTAAATTAAACCGCAGTCAAAACCTTAAAATTTAAAAGACTGTTTGATTTTTTTTAAAGCACAAGTAAGTCAAAGTAGAACACTAATTGTCACAGGATAACAAAACTTTCGACTGTTTCGATCTGTGAGAAACAATTAGTCATCTCCAGGGTTTTGCATTTATTGCCGCAGATATGCCTCATGAACGATTCTATCAGCAAAAATTATAGGGACTGTTCACCATCACAAGCTGTTTTCAACATTGATGACTTTCACAATCAGTTGTGCACTCACTCACAGTTACTTGCAATTAAAAACAATAATACACAGGCAGCCATTGTTGTAGAAACTACAAAAACAGTACTGTTAAGTCTTTTAGTGAAATAACTCCAAAAAAAATCTTCCAACCAAGAATAAACAAGTGTGAAACAATAACACGAGGAGAACTGCTAATTAAAAAAAGATCATTTACATTGTTTTAGAAAACCAGTAGGGGGGCAGGGGTTGTGGAAAAGAGAGAATCAAATCCAACAGATAGAGGTAAGAATCTAAGATACAGTTCGCGTTATAGTGACAATGTGACAAACAATATTTTGCAATACTATATTTCATCATGCAGGTGAGGTACCAAATTTGTATTTAAGAAGGAAAAAAACAACAACTACCCATTTGTATTAACTGATACAGATTTGATAAAAAGAACTACTTTTTTTACACCCGTGCAACACTACTGTGCAACAACATGAAATTCACTCTTTGTGAATGATATATGAATTTCCTCATCATAAGTTATAATACAAATGATGAAGGCTGACGTGATGAAATACCAGAATAAGGATTTAAGTTGGAAAGAGAGGAAAGCCCTGTTAAGTATGTGAGTAGAGGATTTTATTCCACAATAACAGATCTAGAATTTTCTACCCCATGCATAGTGACATGTTCCAATCTTTCAGCTTATTGTAAGTCAAAGTGACTAGACTAGAACAGATAAGAATGACATTAGGAAAAATTGTAAGAAGAGAGTACGAGGAAGTGTAAATGCAATGAACTTTCTGAAGATATGTTATGATGTAAAAGAGGAGCCCAATTACAAGGATATGTTATCTGTATCAAATACAAATCGTTCAGACATTTTACCTTTAGCTTCTGATCCTGAAATATTAAATGTCTTATGATGAAAAGACAAAGCTCAAATACACATGTAAACAAAAGGAGCAATCAAACAATCAAAACAGAATGACAAGTAAATAAAAAATACTTTTTTTTTGTACTTCCCAGTAGAACAATACCTTTTTGGGTATTTACAAAGGTAACGTTTCTGCTCTTCTCATTAAAGATCCCCTTTTCAAATTGGGCTAAAATATGTTGCAATTGTCAATGATATGTAAAGTATGCTTGGCCTACAAATTTTTTATTATCTGACACTGTCCTTTGAAAAATTCTAGCTACCAGACAAAGCAAAAAACAGACTTAAAGTTCTTGACGTAGTCATAGTTATTACTAAGTGAGCAAAGTCGTTCAAAATTTCCAGAAATAGCTGTGGACAAAACTCCAAAACATAACATTTTGGACAGAACTGACAGTGCTTTTAAGGTAAGGGTTAATGTTGAAGGAACTTCCTATGATGTAAGTTCAAAATTACTGCATCCCAAGACTTGTATCCACAGCATTACAACAGTGCATCACTGGTATTTCAACTGTGCTTCATGATCAAATCAACGTGTTAGAATCATGTAAACTGTCCAAACAAAGGTTCAACAGAAGAACAAACCTTAGGAAATATTTCCCCTGAAATATGAGGTTGAATATCAGATAAATAGAGGACTACATCAAAAGACAAAGCAAGGTGTCCTTTTTAAAACAATAAGAAGAACCACACAAAATAACTTGAGGGCTCTATTATGTTCCTACAGGATCACTCACATCAAACAAGATATGCATGAAAGAGGGCTGATTTGAGACCATGCAGAACAAAGTTGGAAAGATAGAGAGTCAGAACACCACCACATACATGTACATCATTTGCAAGTGTGCATGCAAGAAAAGATGAAAACATATTATGAGCGCCAGCAAAGAGATATATTGACATCATGTAACATTAAAAAGTACTTTTTTTAAAATGTTATTTTATTTCAAAAGGTGAAATGGCCGATAACTGCAGATTATATGAGTTTCATTTTATATAATACTTTTTTGGGGTTCTTTTTTTTTTTGAAGGGGGGGGGGGGGGTCAATTTTTACTCATATAGATATTCAAACTATTAATTTCCACTTATGAGTAACCTATTCTCTGTAACTTGAATTTTTAAAAATTTCATACTTATGCCATTTAATTCGGTCTTAATAGCAGATCTGACTTTGAAAGTCTAGTAGAACATAATGATGAACTCTGTTCATATCAAGCTCTATTATATTTGTCAAAGGGTTATGTGAGCACATTCATAATTGTGTACTGTGCATCAGAAACATGCAAGACAATAATGTCGTAAGGTACTGCAATGTAACAGGATTCACTGTTAACCCGTAAGACCACTTGAAAGATCACCTCAGGACCATCTTGAACAATCTCGAGAAAAACCCTACAACCTGCATATATATTCTCCAATATCACTTTGCGATTTTTTTTTCCTCTGTTATTCTTTCTGTTGTCACATCTGCAAATTACATGGTGCTACTTTCAAAAACACACATTTTATAGTTTCAGAAGTTCTGTCTTCAAATAGGACACTGTAACTGTGAACACCCAGGTGCTATTAATGAATTCATCCATTGTATTTTGCAATATACTTTCTTTCAGATTTTTGACTGATAGTGATCAAGAAAAGACAGATGAGCACATGCACAGTGCAAACATCCAAATTGTATGATTTATGAGCGACATATATAGGAGAAATAGTAGGATCATTGAAAGCTACTACTTTACCTCTTCATCCTTGTAGAAATAAGACAAATCTCCTGATGCCTCCAAATGGACTGAAGATGGACCTGGAATCAAGTCAAAGTTATAAGATGGATACAGATTGACAATAAATGGTTGATAAGCAGAAGATAAAAACTACAATATTCGTGAGGCATCATGGTGAAATCAGGCGCTCGTCAAAATATTGAAAGTTAAGAAACTAACATTTTTCAATCTATTTGGCAATTTTTATTGAATTTTGAATTTTTGGCTGAAAACCTTGTATGTCCATTTAAAAACACATTGCTGTGAGGATTTTATTGAAAAGAGTTGATTAAAGGCATGCAAATTGTAAATTTACAGTTTCCAAAGGCTCTCAACCTTGGGAAATCACTAAACTTTGGCGGCCGTTATCTCATTAATTTTGCCTCTCAAACCAAGCGACCCTTATTTCCTTCAATCCAAAATAAATCGACTTCAATTCAATACAGACGGGAATTTTTTCATCAAAAGACAGACAAATGAACAAGCTTTACGATGGTACCAATAAGTCTATATATGGCCAAAAATTGACAAGCGTTTGATTCCACATTTTATTTCCTAATGATTCAAATGACACCTTTTAAAAATCTTCTTTTTTTTTCTCGGGAACCAGTAGAAGTCATAGTGTAACACAAAAAAAAGCCAGTACAAATTAAAAAGACAAGGTTGTAAAGTCTTTAGATCTTTCGAAGTGAAAAAAATAGTACCATTCCCGTAAAGTGAAAAAAATCGACAATTTAATACAGTATTTGAGTGCAAAAGTCCTAACCTTAGAAAAGATCAAAGATCTCATTGCAGTACAATTGTAAGGACTGAGGTCAACCTTATTATTCCATTTAAACACAGTCTACTATGATGACCACTTACTCCCAATACTATTATCAATTGCTTCCTGACACTTCTGAATACCAAGACGGAACTCTTGCAGCTCAGGTCTTAGTTTGTTACCCCTGTGATAAAAGACAAGGGCAGTTTCAAAGTCTCCTTTCTGATACAGTGCTTCTGCCTTCATGTTGAGAGCCTGTTGAAAAATAATGACATTGTGGTATTTTATGATCATAAATGAATACGCAGGTTAACAAAACATAATTTTAAGGGAAAAACTAACTTTCCTAACCAGGTTTGGCTGGATGGAATCTTTCACAAATTCAAACAGAGAAAAGAATCCACCCTACAGACTTAAGTGCATGCCTATGTGTGCATTATTTTTTTTTCTTTGTAAAAAAACTATCTATTGGTCGAAATTCTCTCGTTCCTAAACCAAAAAAATTTCAAGGGTTATGTTGCTGTAATATTTATAAACAACCCTCAAGTAACACAATTCACCAAGAGAGCAAAACAGCGGAAAAAGCCCCGGGAACACACTTGTGTCACTTGTGGGCCAGAGAAAGTCACTATCTGGTACTTCTATCAAACACACCAATAAGCCTACATTCTGTGCATAGGCCAAGCGATGCAAGGATATCAAATGTACCTGTCTTTACACCTTTGTTTGGTCACAGTTGTCTTGTTGTCTCTGTGAAGCTAGTTTAAATAGGCCCTACATATGAGCTTGTGATGGCACATAATGTGTTTCAAGATGTCACTGGCATTAGATCAGAAAAAAATGTTCAAAGGGTAATATTTTCCACTAGCATGGCATTCTCAACTATGCACTGTCAATGCTCATCCCTATTTGAGCAACCTCTCAAAATCGAAAACCCAGCTAAACCAAAGAAAAACCAGTGGATTTGCAGATTTCAGTCATGAATACATTATACATACTCGAATATCTCTTTTCCCATCTTCATCTTGATCCAGGGCAGTATTGGCATCCTCTAGAGCTTTCTCTGAATTTCCAAGCATCAAGTGACACTTGGCTCGAACAACAAGACATGTTTTGTCTTCTGGTTTCATCTCAAGGGCCTGAAAATTAGAAATAAAAGTACATGGTGTTATAGCTTAATTGTTCATTTTTTTCTGTCCGTGGTTAAAACAACATAAAAACATATTGCTCAGTTTAATCTTCTCAGATCTTTGCATGTAGGTCTAAAAGCTGGATGACCAACAGAATCTCAAAGCCCATTAATGAAGATTACTACAAATTAAGGTTCTGACAGGTTTTCTGTGATATTAGCCTAAAGCAGGTTTTTATTTTAAAAAAAAAAAAGGGGGGGGGGGGGGGGGGGGGGGGTTGTAGCACACATCTAAAAAATAAAAAAGTTGACCTAATTTCATCAACAACATACTTTAACGCACATCTATGAAACATGGTCAAATTGAAGTGTGAATAATTGTTTAGATGCATGTGGGTATGTCTAGTCAGTCACAGGAGGAAATCTACAAACTTACACTGATATGGGGGGGCAAGGGTGTTATCACTGTCGTAAAATGAGTAATTGGTAAGCTAAATTAATGTTAATCATTTATTGCATTAATACTGCAAATGCACCCAAAAGGCGGTATCTATTATAGGGCTTAAATAAAGAACCTTATATATATATATTACAGCATCATTTTTTAAAACAAATTGTTTAGTCACCGGCCTGCAGAAGTGCCATGCAAAGTTTCAAAGGTATTGCTAAATTAATATAAATGAGCAAGAATTTTTTTACTCTGACAACTGAAAGTGAACAAACTATGACAACACAATTAGGAAAGCGGTTCTTCACTTTCAATTTTTGTAAGGCATAATTTTTATGTTAATAATGAGCAATGTGTAGGGTTGAGCTGCTACAGTCTACAATAACTTTTCCTCAATAGATTGATGGTATTGAAAAGCTATTTGCCATTTTCTAGATTCTTTAAACAAGCTTAATTTATTGCCACGGCCCACAGGCAGTGGAATTTTAGTTGCAGCGGGGGGGTTCCCTGCCAAGCGCCTTATCACGTCGGGGTCATGGGGGTCAGTTCCCCATCGCCGCTCTGTCCGGGCTGACTTAATTTTTGGTATTTTTCAACGTAAAGCTTTAGGGGTGTCATTATATTTATGGTAATTATCATTTAATGCACCCAAAGCACGCATTTCTGCTCTTGAGACTCAAAAAAGAACGGACATTGTAACTTATTTGGTCAATTCGTTAGACGCGCTGAAGTCGGCAATGCTAAATTGTAAACATTTTAGGACAAGTGTGAATGGAAAAAAAAATCAATATAAAAAATGGCACAACAAAAACTGTCGAACTTTTGGAACATGAACGACGTAACACAGGTGCAGATACTAAGAAAAGATGGTATCTGCCCATATAATAGAAAGCTGTAATTTTACAACTTTATCCATCTGGCACACAATTCGCTATGAAGTAATTCCTCCAAATACAACTTTATGTGTCTAATATAATCGTTAATATTCACATATTTTTTCGAAAGTTTATAAAAATTACCCTGTAGTATCTCAATGAAGTAATACAAATCAATTTTAGTGCCAGAATACATCTACAAAGCAATAAATGAACACTATCTGTTAGTGTCACACTCCAGAAATTCCTTACTTTTCTTAAAAAAGGAGTCTAGATTTTGTAAGTTGGTTGAATAACAGGGATGACTTTTTGTAACTGGTTATAAGAATAATTTCTAGCTTTCCAGTGACACTGAATCAGCACCAGACTTTTCCAGCTTTTATTTTCGTTTCTATGACCATTTGCAATAACTGACAATGTTCTAATTTCTTTACATGAATAAGTGTCCGCACATATTTCCGACACAAAAAAAAACAATGAATGTGTTAGCTGTGATTATTTTTATTCCATACAAGAAGTTTATCTCTATCCATGTATTTACACAATTTTGTGTTTTTTTAAAAACGCATAATATATATTTCTTAGTTGTATGCAGGCTGCCACAGACACAGCATGATTCACAAACAAACACAGAATAATTTCCCTTGTTTAATGGTAAAACAAGAGGCTAACACTAGGGCTGGGCAATAAGTCGCTTGAGCAAAATCCGGATAAAGTTAGTGCACCTCTTCTGCGATTAAATGCGTCATGAACCGCTTCAGCAAATGGGTTAGAAGAACCACTTCAAAATATGGGTGCACCCACTTCGGCAAACGGGTCAGGAAAGAGAGTTTAAGAGTCTGAATTCGGATAATGTTTCACTGAGAAGTATCCGGTTATCCAGATTTTGCCCACCACTAGCTAATGCTGAGTGTCTTTAGTTAAAAAGGGTACATGTTCATCTTTCTTCTCTTACAATTTGACTATTCCTACTTGCGCAGATTTAAAACTTTTCATGGTAAAAGACATGATATTCGTAGTCAGTTTAAAACATATTTTGGAAAGATCTGTATTTTTAAATAAACAATCATTTATTCATAAGTTTTTAACAAAAATAGGACAAATTGGGTACTCTACAAACACTTGTCAAGAACAAAAACTAAGGCACAGATATTAACCATTTTAAACGCAGAATAAATCTCAAGACATTGAGTTTTAGTACTTTAGAGTAATGGTTTGCTGTGTGGCAAGGGGAAGAAGTTAAAAAGTGCATTAAACATAGATAAAAATGCGAATCTTCTTAACCGACACAGGCAAAGTCGATTCAAGGCTCATTAACCCCGTGACCCAGAGCTGGGGAGCTCTGGCGGGCTGCTGAGTCACGCTAACTAAAAGTAACAGAATCGGGCGAAAAGTGACGCTATGATTGAATTGTTGACATTACAAAAATGCAGCAAAAATATGGTAGAAAATTTTACAGGTTTAACAAAAAAAAGCATAAATTTAAACAATGCTAGTTTTTCTCTTATAGATATCATTTTATTTTTAATCCCTCAATAAGTCCTCTGGCAATAGTTGACAGAGATATCAAGGACTAGTTAATAACAGAAGGCTGTCTTCAGATAAGGTAGAGCATATTTGAGGTACTGGCTTGATTTTCTAAGATACTGGTAGACCTACTTAAAAATTATATTTTCTGAAAGTAAAAATGGAGGAAAGGGCATCACCAATAACTCCAAAAAACTCCACCTTAAGATAATTATTTCTATATTTCAACTTAAATTAATCATTTTACAACAGCAGCTATATCCTAAAACCCACCTTTGAAAAGCTTTCTATGGCTTTAACATATTGTTGAACATGAACAAAATGTTCACCCTCATCCCGAAGCGTTTCAAAAGTCCCAACAGTTCCTTGATCATCTGTGGCAGCATCACTGTCACTGTCCTTTCTTCCTCGTCCCTTTGGCATTTTGGAGGCTGTATGATCTTACCAAATGATTTTCCTGAGGCTGTATAATTGAAAGAAGATTGACAAATCAGTACATTATTGTAATATTCAAATCTCCTACCTATAGCCTTTAGGTTTGTGAAACTGTCTGAAACATCTGTTTTTCAAAACTGAGTTCTCCTCATTTTTAACAAAACAGGTATGGTACAGTCCAAGCATCAAAAGGAAAAAGTCGTTTTCAAATTGATTGCAAAATGAAAAGCATATTAAAACAATACATCTGATGAGTGTGTGTAAGCCATTCCATTCTGGGCAACATATGCAGACTTCAGCTGTTGTGAAAATCTATCTCTTGACGCTAAGGAGCTTCAGATGCACAGGTCCTGTCAGTGTCAGCTCAGAAAACCAGAAAAAGGAAAAACTGTAATTACAAAATCTATTTTGACAAAAAATAGTGTAAAGGTTTAGAAAATGCCATGCACAGTACAATATCATTTGGCCAAAAAAAAAGTATTAAAAACATAAAACTAAACTGATTTATTATGGTTTAACTTCAATTTTTCATACAAACAATGGAAGAAAAGAGCCAAGCAAGCAATTTCAAGCCAAATTACCCCCAGTCTGCTTTTTGGGGGGCATAATACTAGCTGGGCCCCCTTTCGATGAAAAGAATGATCGGTGCATTAACATCAACTGAAAGTCATTGGCCTACTATATTGTTACTCTACTAGAATGGAGCAATAAATCTTGAGAGATGCAAAAAATTAAAAGGTCTACATCTATACACTCAAAACAAAATGTGCCTCACGAAATATCACTTCTAACACTACTGTTGTGAAAGACAGCTATGCAGATTTGTTTCGTTTCTCAGTGGAATAATCACAGATGCCAAAGTAGGATGGGAACTTTTTATATATATTTGTCTAAATTCAGGAAAAAAAAAATTTTTTAATCGGCTCCGGTGTGGGGACCTACAGTGTCTATCTTTTTGCAGGTACATGCCAACTTTCAACTCTGTAGCTGTCCTAGTTTTATGGGAAAAGTGACACATGTGTTTCAAAGTTGCCAAATATATTACAGTGGAGTCCACTTATAACGAGTCCTGAAATAACAAGAAGTCTGTTATAAAGACACTGATCTAAAACCCCCCGTTTTTTTCTTCTTTATACTGCTATTGCGCAATCAGACAAACACGCTAGTCAGTTATAACGGAATATTGCTGCTGCTGTGCACAGCGCATAGACCAATTAAACATATATAAAAACTCGCCAGTTGAGAAAGTTGTTTGTGATCCTGAAAAAAGAATGGGAGAGCCCACGCGAACCAACAATGGAAGGCCAGAGCAAATGGCTGGAGAGGGTGCAGACACGCAGAACGCATCGCCTGATACTGATAGGCCAGCCCAGTCTAGATTATCTAGGCATACCATGCCTCTCACTTCTCTCCTGTGGGATGGAGAGGTCACAATGCTGTGATAGATGGAGCGACTATGTGACGGGCGCAAGCAGACGCAACGCACCACAGGGTGTGGTGGGGTGGGCGACAACACAGTGGGCGAGTTAGCCTAGAGCCAGAGCCCCTTCTTTCTGATAGCCAATGCCAAGCTGTCAACATTGCTTGTGCTAGAGAAAGAAACCTGATTCAATTTTTGATCAAGTAAGACCTAAGAGATCAAGTTGAACAAAATCATCATCAGGGGAAATACAAAAAGGAATAAACAGAACAGTAAACTCATAGATTAGGCCTACTTTACTATTTCCCTTGGATTTATTACTGGATTTAATATAGCGAGAATCCTGCTATAACAGACATTTCGCAGCGGTCCCCTCCCTCTCATTGTAACAGGATTCCACTGAATAACTAGCTGGGTTTCCTGTTCGATGAACGGACTCAAAAGAATCGATCGTCAAATCATTGTTGGATAAGTGCACACACCCTTTGTGAACGGAAGCCTCATTTGTTTCCAAGGGCATCTTAGAAGACTGACTTTCCCAAGATTAGATTTAAACGAAACTAATGAAAATCTGAAAATTAAACTAAAGTGACTTTAGACTTCTCAGTAAAACTGTGCAACCTTTAAATGATTCTGAACCACCATTAATTTTTTCAAATTCGAAAGTTAAGCAGTTCTGAAGTTTTAGGCGGCCAAAGTGACGACTTTCACAAATATAATATGTATAGATTGATTCTCTATTCCACTTTCGTGGTTGTACACTCAAGAATTTCAAAGGTGAGGAATCAGTGCGCACTGCTAGTGAACGGAAACCTCACTTGTTTACAACGGCATCTTAGAAGACGGACTTTCCCAAGATTAGATCTAAACGAAACTAATGAAAAACTGAAAATTAAACTAAAGTGACTTTAGACTTCTCAGTAAAACTGTGCACCCTTTAAATGATTCTGAACCAACATTAATTTTGTCAAATTCGAAAGTAAAATGGTTCGGAAGTTTTAGGCGGCCAATGTGAGGAACTTTCACAAATATAATATATAGAGACAACAAAGGTCTACAACAAATAAGACACTGTGAAACAATGAGTTACATAATTGTTATATTAGTTACCCTATGGAGAGAGGAGATCTGGAAAAGGACATTTTAAAAAAATGCAATATCAATCTAAAGATATGGGGGGGGGGGGGGGGGGGGGGGGGACACAAAGCTCGATGTATAATGGAATTTCCCACACTGAGACCTTTTCTGGTCATGGCTAATCTGGGGTAAGAATGAGGATACAGATCAGGTGTGGTCTGAAGAAAGAGACTTTGTAATTACAGTACATTTTTACTTCCACTCCTACACGTCTAGGCCCCTATAATTGCTTTTAAGGGTCAAACAGCCTATTTTTGGCTGCTGATCACATTTATCATTTCCTCTATAATATATGTTGGTTACTCTCTTGTAAACTGCTATTTCCTGGGTGCCTTGATGGTCAAAGCAGACTTTACTTTGTACCCTTGAGGCTAGAGAGGTGAGCAGAGTAAGCCTGATTCCCCATTTCAAAATCTCTTGACACCCTGCACCTCTTGGTGCTCAATGACCTTATGCAGTTGCAAGCGTTAAAATCTTACTAAAACTAAAATACAAAATACTACAAATCTCCATCAACGGAAATTGGGATTGTTCACAGCACTTCCTGCTTCTCACACACATTTTGTGAGTTCCCCAGAGGGCCTGGTTAAAAAAAAAAAATCTTCCAAAATTGTTTCGTTCTTTCTTTTGACCTTTCCAAAATACATAACCCGACTTTTTTGTATACCCCGCTCAAAATATCTCCTCTTTTGTGAGTTGTTTTGTCGTCCGGCCCTCTGTGGAACTCCTTTCCATTTTGCATATATATATATATTATATATGCATAAGGACTTACATCACAGCTCACCAATGACACTTTTCAATCGCAAAACTTGTTACAAGAAATTATTTTTATGATGAACACCTAAAGGTTTTCAAAACATACGTTCAATGATTTAGCATAATGTCAGAATTAGAACAAAAATGACAGACTTGCTTTTAAAAGTAAATGCGAAATTGCCCCAAGCTGTAAATCTTTTATTTTTTAAAAATTATCTGCAACCACCCACAGGGATTTTTATTAGCATTTATTAATTAATTTTCTAGAGTCAGAACAGCTAACAGGTGTTTACAAAAATATTATCTGTTAAAAGACAAATTGATAAAAGTCATTGTGCAAAAGCCTTGAAATTGAAAAGCTGGAGACTTGTATGTTCCATGTCATAGTTGGAGAGGAAATATTTGACAACAACTGAAGTCATGGTTGCGCCAAGCATTTTGACGGCACTAGATCTAGACTCTAGATCTAGATCTATAGGTTTATCATAACATATATAAACTTACAGAATTTAAACGTGTAAAAAGTAAATTGAGCCTGTCACCATAAAAAAAATGCAAGTCTTCAACATTACATTTTGATAAATAATGAATTCACCTAACGAACTGTCCACTTGGCTCCGCGCACCTGCCTGTGAAGCTGTTGTCATGGACGCATGACAAAAAGAGGAAATAGTATAGAGCTAAAGTATATATTAGTTTCGAAGTTAAAAATGATATTGGCTATATTTATTTTTTCTTTGTTAGAAAAGAATCATTAAACATTTTGTACCTCTTTAATTGTATCTAGTATTAGAAGTGTAATCGTTAGGAAATATTATTATGACAAATCTTCCGAGTCTCAAAGTTTCGTAGAGGCTTCAATGATTTAAAAAAAAAAAAAAAAAACCAATCCGTGCAATCAATCCAGCTGGGCAAAGGAAGCAACAGCTCAAGTTTGAAATAACAGCGTACCTGACAACGACTTGGTCTAAGTTGATACCTTCGCGTTTGTAACGGGTGTGTTTGTAACAGTAGGGTATATAACCCTGGGGCTTTTAACGAAGTGAGTTTTGTCTCATGTTCATTTTGAGAGAAGTCTGCCTAAGCCATCCGTTGTCTTTTAATGCAGTAACGGTAGTCTCCTGTATAGGCATACTACTACAGGATAGATGTTGTGAAAAATTAAAGATCGTTTGCAGTTTAACTCTTTTATTGCCAGGGGGTTTTCCTCACCTGGGCTGGGTATTATCTGTGACCTACCTACTTTTTTCTGATTCTACCTACCCTCAGACAAATTAAAGATTTTGAATTCAATTTTCAATATCAGCCACTTGTATTACATATGAAAATAAAATGGGACAATAATATTGTCAATTATGACCCATATCAACATATGTTACTAGAACTAAAATGATAATTCGCCTTCAGCCACAGACAGATTTCAGTTTATATTATTACAAAAGTAGGACTGGTTTTAAAGCAGAAAGTGGAGAGCCATGAAACATCACTTGCGGTTTAGTGTTGGGAGCAACATGGGCTGTGATCAAGGTAGTGTGCAGTTAAAGTTAAAGTTTGTCACTTTCTTTGGTCTGTGGGCATTAAAAAAGTCTCTCTCGTTTACTGATTTGCCAATGCACAAGAGGCTTGATATGTTACTCCTGTAAGCCAGCTACCAAGCAAAAATTTTTTTTCCTAAAAAACTTGATCCAGTAATCGTAAAAAGTTTTTTTATTTGGACCTTCAACCTTTCCTATGTTTAAAACTAAACCACCCTTTGGGTGCATTTAAAGGATCATTGCAATAAATGATTTACCGCAACCTAGCCCACAAATTGCTGATTTTGAGACAGCAACACCACCCTGCCCCCGCATTTCAATGTGAGCTTGTAAGTTTCCTCCTACAGCCAGTCAGATATCTATACTCGAGTCTCAAAAAGTACTTTCTGTTTCATTGGCTTGTGATAAAGTGTGATATTGATTAAAATAGGTCAACCTTTTGATATTTTTGTTTATATGCTGCAAATCCCTACTATTTTTTACTCACGTAAGGCTAACATCAGAGAAAATGTGTGGAAACCTTAGTTTTCAGTGCTATGGGCTTTTGAGTCTGGTTACCCAACTACGGTATGAATAACCCGCATATATATAAAGACCTGAGATGAGAATATTAAACAGAGCAATTTATTTTTATTCCACTTTAACCACAGACAGAAGAAAGTGAACAAGCTATATAATCCCTTACTTGCTCTATCATTGCTTTGACATTTTTAGCTATTAATCATTCCTGTGTTACTTGTGACATTCTTTATGGAATGTTGTGTTAAATTTGTAATGGTAACAAGATCAACACAGACATGACTAAATATAGTTAAGGAGACAATGGCATCATACAACACCCCATTCAATAAGACCTTCCAACTAGATCTAGTAGAAGGCTGACGTCTGTTGCTTCCTAGGAAACCTCCAAGGTTGTAATAACGGACAAAAGAAAAGTCTGACATTGTTCAAGTAATTGAGGTCTCTAGATTAACTGAATTCTCTTATATATGTTAATATTGAAATATTGATAAGAGATGTACATTTATCTCGTATCCTTAATATTTTATGCTCCATTTGAAAGGTACATTAAGTTATACATTAAAAGTTATAGATTTTGTCTACATGCAAATATAAATAGAAAGCTCAATAGTGTGCCTTCCCCCCTTCCCCTCCCCTCCTCCATTCTCAAGCTGGAGATATTAAAAATAAAACTCTATCATTTAAAAATTAAAAATAAAACTCTATCATGTTGTGTGTCTTGCAGGAATCATGTCCTTGTTTCCATTGGACTCCGCTGAAGACAAAAAAGTTTCTGAAGTGGGAGAAAAGAAACCACCTTCAACTCTTGCTGAGTTTTTAGCTGCTGAAGGACTGGTAACAACCATATTAAATGTTTATATTGTGTCAATATTTCTTCTCTTTGCAATAACAATAAAGTACTTTTATTTTCTTTGTTTGCAGTTGTTTTTTTAAAATGATATACAGACTTATTTTGTTTTGTCTTGAACATTATCACTTTGGGGTACCGGGTATTTTGCTGTAATTTTTTCTCCCTGTTGTAATATAATGTTTGTAAAAAATGATGACAGTACATTATCTTTATTTTTTTTTCTTGCTTCCAAAATCGACATTTCCCTTGTCATTCTAATTAGTGCTTCAAACTATTTGTACTTAATTGATATCTTGTGTGAAATTCATGATATCTGGTATCTTCTTTTTGCAAAGGATGACTGGCCACTTCCAATGACTCTTGAAGGACCCTTAGACATTCAGTCAGAAGGATTATTCATCGGAAATCAAGATGATATTGCTGAAATTCTGAAGGAAGCTGCTCGTATCTTTTGCTATAATTAATGCATTCATTGTCAGTTCATACACTGAGATCATCATGCAAGTTAAAACTGCAGTAAAGGTGTACATGAAACCATTAGATGATATTCTTTGTTAGAAACATCACTTTAAAAACCACTTTACTCTGACATCAGTCTATATTGCAAAATATTCAAAAGTTTGATGGCTATGCAGGGACTTCAAACAAGATTCACATACCAAACAGTTTTTTAGAATGACAAATGGCAGCCAAATTTCAAGTTTGATAGTACTTGCTCTTTAGCAATAAATGACCACATGCAAATTTGTATATCATTAAATATTTTTATCAAGGAACTAATGCAAATTTACGCATAGTTTTATGTTTGAAAGGATACTCTTGCATTTTGACTTGACTGCTAATAAGCACTTGGTTTACACATGATGGATGAAATGGAGGACAGACTGTCTGCTTTGGAGGATAAGATCAATTTTTATGCAGACCGAATTGTAACAGATGATAAACGTCCGTCTCGCCTTGCGGAGAGGCTTTTCCACTCTCCATCTCGAAGTAAGTCACATGGGGTCCATTATGTTTTGATTTCTCTATGCAGTTATATAAGCGTCTTCACCCAGTGTAAATCATTACACTTTTTTGTAAGTTTTGAATTAATTATATTAGAGTTTGACTGATTCATCATGAGCAGTTTAAACTTTGAGTTAATGAGTAAGATATGAAATAACTGTGTAAATTGTGCTGTTAGATTGAATACTCTTAAAATTAGTACTTTTTAGACTGGGTAGTATTTTGCGACAGGCCTTTTGGCTCATCAACCTCTCTCTTTTATTTTTAAAAAAAAATATATATATATGAATGTGTAAATATGCGACCTTGTAGGCCTATGAGCTAACTGTGAACAGCTAATTTGAAATCTGTAGTATATTTAAAAGTGTTTAAGAAAGAAAGAAATTGCTAGAAGCTAAATAAGGGGCCTGATAACTTATAAAACTCGCAGAGAATTAAAAAAGAGCAGATAGATCACTATAACTATATGCCATATTTTTACGTAAGTATTTCTTCTGTGTCGGCAGCTTTCATCACTGAAGTGTCAGAATCTGATGCTGTTAAGTCTCACAGAAGCTCCAAAGGTCACAAAAGTGTTGTGAGTTCAGTTTTATTTGATATTTTGGGTTTCCAATGCTATGATCTTTTTCAATTTTTTCTTTTACAAGAAAACTTTTGAAAAGTAAACAAATAACAAATGCACTGCTGGAGAGATATATTGCGTTTTTCAAACTTGTTAAATGTTGAAAGTAAAATCAAACCAGTTCTAACTGCCACTTGTATAACACAATCATCTGCACACAGTCATTGTGTTATAAAAAAAACGATAAGGGGGAAAATGGAAAGTGGCCGGTGGTTGTCTTATACAGGTGGCTGTCTGAACAGGTTCGACTGTAGTTATATTATATATATATATGCATATGTTTTCACATTCTGCCAGAGAGAATATTCTTTTATTTGAAATGACTGTTTTTTATTATTCTCCTGTTCATAAATATTTCATTAGGATCTTGTGGACACAATGCTTGAAACAAGGAAAAGAAGCCTTGATTACTACACATTTCCTGGCTTTGTGCATGGAGAGTTCATTGAACTGCCTGCACAGTTGGAGGCTCCACCTATACTGCATCGCGTGACTACAGCCCAGGATTTTAATGTGAGCAATCTCTCTCTCTCTCTCTCTCTCTCTCCCTCTCCCTCTCCCTCTCCCTCTCCCTCTCTCTCTCTCTCTCTCTCAATACTGCCGTCAAACATTTAGTATTTAAAACAAGCTTCCATAATAAGGAGTGACCCTAATATTCACATTTTCAAAAAACAGCTGAAGAATTACTTATTATTAAATGCATACTTGTCATAACAATGAACCGTTACTTTTTCTGGTACATGTATGTGTATGCCTGATGGTGAGATTGAGGAAATAGCGTGGAGGAGGGGGGGGGGGAGGTGAGAGAGAGAGAGAGAGAGAGAGAGAGAGAGAGAGAGAGAGAGAGAGAGAGAGAGAAAAAGACTACTTTAACTTTAAAAAAGAAAGAAAATGTTATTCTGTCTATGGAGAACGAATGTTTTATTCTGCTTATAATTATTCAAGTTTCAGTGTTGTCATGGCGGTTAGTGAATTTTTATTGGATTTTACATTTATTATAGGTAGGCTATATATAAATCTATTTTTTAATGCACGCATTGCCAGACAAATTTTCTCATAGAAATGTTTCAAACATATACATATTTACAGATATTATGGTTTATGTACAGATCTGCCTATTAATTTTTAAAATGTGATATCTTTATGAATGTAATGCGCATTGAGCATTTTTTAGAAAATGGAAATGCGTAGCATTATGCTATTTATTATTATTATTATTATCATTATTATTAAAACTTTTGGTATTAATAATTAATACTACAGCAGTTCAAAGTCAAAATTACCACTTTCGATTTCCTCTATTGTAAAGTCGAAGCAGTTTCAAATAAATATTATTTCTCTCAGTGATTCACCAAGTAAAAGACTATGCACATAGAATAGATCAGATGCTGGCTTCATTTTGCTCTGATACAAACATCAACATTCTGTAAATGAAATAATCATTTACTTATAATTCATTCTCAACAGCCTGGCTTCAGAAAATTTTGGAAGAAGTTGTTCCTCTCAGAAGCATCATCTGCAGTTATGCAGGATGCATTTTGGTGGATATTCTTGGATCATTTTAAAAAACAAGTAAGTCATTATCTGCTTAAAACAGTAATTGCCATTATCACTTCTCCTTTCCTGTAAGTGATGCGACTTTTCCTCTTCAGTCTTTGTAGTTTCCTCCATTTAACTAAACATTTTCAGAAACTTTTCCAGGAAACTTCAGGTTCTAATAAGGGTATTTATTTGTCTGCATATGGCAATAAGTTCTAATGGTTGTTTAAAGTCTTTTCTTAGTAAAGTGTGCTTATGACAGACTGAAAGAAAGATAAGTGTTTTTTATTTGTTAGTTCCATAAATGACCAATGACTTATTGCATCAGTCTATGAAATTCCAAGGAATAAATTTTGATACCTTCAGTCAAACACTTTGCCTCTTGCTCATATCACCGACACATAAATTGAAAAAAAACTTTAAGCAGGAAATAAGCTATGAACAGATACTTGCACTGGAGCATATCTGGAATGTAAGATTCAGTTTCTTACTTATTGTTGAATTTACTGCATGTCAGTTGCAGCTGGAATTGTCAGATCCATGATATTGGTAACTTTTGTATTCTGTTTTTCAGGAGGATTTCCAAGAAGACAAAGATTGTCTTTTTGATCGCATTTCTGACAGCTATGTTGCACTGTTTACAAGCATTAACACAGACGTGAAGGACAAATTCCTGTCGGTAGGAACTATCTAATTAAGATTTTCCCTTTCAATATGATGTAGGGCTTGACCAACTTTGGAATTTTTTTTCCGCTCTACAAATCATGCACGGATCGCGAGACCCGCCTCGTACCCTTGTTTGGCCAAGCCTGAGCTACGTAGACTTCGTTTCGTATCTCTGGGGCTGGTAGTTTTTAAGTTATTGAAGGTGAAGGACAGTAACCCCAACTGGGGTTGAACAGACCGGAACTCGCGCTTTGTTTTTTTCTAAACAGCTCATAGTAATCCGACAGTCGCGTCGTAGTAACGGTCGAAGAAGTCGCATGTACAAGAATCACATAATTTCGCTGTTTTCTATACTTCTGTGCGTTTTACTAGTTCTAGTGTCTCAGAATATGATGAGTTTAATAGTTAGGATCCTGGATATGTACCCGAACACGGCCCGAGTCGTAGTTCTAGGGCTAGATCTAGCACTAGTACCGGTGTTGTTTTTCGCGCAACGAAATCACAACGTCGTGCCGTACATCTGTCTCATGTAATTCAGTGTATGGGTCTGAATCAATGCACAGACCAGCTTTTATATTTTCACCAAACACTCGCACATGTATACAAATTAAACCAGAACACTTTGAACTTTTATTTTTGTTGTTGCAGTGAGTTTCATTCTACTTGTCACGTCTTTGGAAATTTTTCGGAAAATCAAATTCATGCCAATTTAAAAAAAATTATACAAATTAAAGTATTAGACTTAGACAACTTTAGTTTTTTGTATTAAATTAAGCTTGAATGTTACTTTACTGTGTAAAAAAATGATTACAATAGGGTAATTCTGAGAGTTGTGGTGATTTATTGAAATACCCCCAAAAACGCCAGTCTTCAACGCTTGTGACTGGTGAAAGGGCCCAGTCGCAAGTGAGTTAAAGACTTCAGTAGAAGCCAGGATGATCGTGAAACAAGGATAGCCAATTATAGAAGAATGGCCTTTTATGTTTTGTTGGAACACCTACCTCTACTGTTTGATTTTTAGGAGAGTTATGTACAATGCTAAAGCATTTGTAAAGAGTCATAAAATAATAAAGGGTAAATATTTTTTTAAAAATTCACTGCCCTCATTTTCCTTCTTCTCAGGTCTACCCAGACTGCCTTGCTCAAGCCCTGTTTTGCACATACAGAGAATCCTTCCCTGAATCTAAGTGGAGATTCAGTGAAGAATTCAAACAGTACCTTGTGAATTTGGTCTATGAATGGGTAACAGGTCAGTTTGTTCAAAACTTCTTTTTTATTTCAGTAATTGTACACTTCTACGTGTGCCGATATGGTATGTGGCCATAATTTTCTCTAACATGTAAAATTCGGTTGCTTTTGTATTTCGATTTGTGAGTACAGATAACTTTAACCATAAAAAGCCAATGACTATGACATTTCTTGTTGTATTCATTAAAGATGTCAACAAATCAGAGCTCCTTCTTAAATGGTATCTCCCTATTGAACAACAGATAAAGATTGCAGAGTATATTATAGCTATTTGTACCAAGTTTTCAAAAAAAAATTGTTTACAATTAATTCTTCCTATGTCATGAAAAAAGCCTTTTTAGTTTTCAGCTGACTTTACTAGTCTATACTGCACAAACATTTACGACTGAAATTTTTATTTTTTTTACCCAGGACTTCGACCTGTTCCCGGTGTCTGGAAAGCATGGAATGAAGAAGGGCTAGAAGGAAGTCAAACTAGCAGAGACAATGAGACAGCAAAGAAAATGTTAGAAGCAGCAGCACTGCACAAAAAAGGTATTTGTTGTGATTATAATTTAGATATTTATTCACTGGGGGCTCCAGTGGTTAAGTGGCAGTGAGGTCAGTGACACAACATTAGGGAAGGTGGTCACTGGGAGGGTGTCCTTTAGCAAGACACAGTAATCCTAGCTTACAAAAAAGGGCTTTGTACAGTAGGGATCTGTAATGACATGTATGTGAGGTCATCTGTAATGGTGTGATGTATTAGCAATGTCAACCAAATCTCCCCATGGCGATTGATAAAAGTGGTGTTAATTACTGAAAGATTAGAGCAGTTTAAAGAAACTCACAATGATACTTGAAAGCATACAGCAGTTTAAAGAGAACTTGCAATAATACTTGAAGTGATAATGCTGTGGTGATGTTTTGTACAACATGATTAGATGTGTACCAAGTTTTTAATTTTATCTTAATGAACTCATTGTAGAAAGGGTTTCATCCTTTGTCATTTTTACTTGCTTTTTACTCATGCTTTTTATTCCTGCAAATACTATACTCTGGCTTTACTGCCCAAATAAACTCTCTTAAGTTATTTTGAGGTGGCATTGCTGACATATAAGTTAAAACAATCTCAGAATATTTTTGGAAAAGAAAAAAATATGTTTCTATTTCAGTTGAGCTGAGTCTTGATATGGATGGATTTAGCAAAGTTCTCGATAAACTTGGAACAGAATCATTCACTTCTCCACAAGGCAACATTCTGAGAGAAGTCACAAAGTCTTCAAACCGCCTTCTGTCTAGGGGCAGAAGTCAGCTCAACAAGCAGGAGGTAGATTTTTTAATGAATATTTTCACATGAGATTTTTTTGTTTGCGCTAGATAGTTGAGTTTCTTTCTGAATAGCGTTTTTCAGTTTTTAAGATCATCAAATCAAAGTGCATTTTTGGGGTAAAATTTGTTATATATATGTATGAAATGAAAATATTCTTGTGGTTTTTCTAAAAATACATATTAAGTAATGTGCACTAGAAAAAAAAACCCCCAGTGCATTAACAATAGATAGGTATCTTTGCATTATGCTTAGTTGCGTGAAGTTATTGTCAACACTCTGAAGTGAATACTGATGGAACTCAAGTCATCACCTTTACACAAGATAAATGTCAAAAATGTATGTGATGCCTTGTCCTTGGTCTAAAGGCATTTTAAAAATGGAATAGATATAATAAATACAAAGTATATTACGACTACTTTGTACTCAGAAGCAAACAAAAAACAAAATGATAATTAATCCTGTTAAAATTTAGATCTTTGGATATAACTTTGTTCTATGTCACAACATGGTGGAATCAGGTGTTCGTCAATTTTGGGACATATTTAGTTATGGCATAAGAGCCTGTTCATTTGCCTTACTTTTTATGAAAAAAATAACAATCTATCTTGAATAGAAGTAAAAATATTTGTGATTGAAGGAGGTCTGGGTCACCGAGCTGATGTTAAAGGTAAAACTAGCGAGAAAATCATGGCTACCAAAGTTTGGTGAATTTCAAAGATGTAGGCCTAGTATCTTTTGAAAACAAAAATTTACATTTTTTGTGTGCCTTTGATAAATGTTGTTAGTCAAATCCAAGCTGGAATGTGTTCTTAGGTGGACATAAATGGTGCTGAACCCAAAACAAAATAGTCAATAAAAATTGCCAAACGAGCAGAAAAATTTTTATTTCTTCGATTTTAGTATTTTGATGAGCACCTGATTTCGACATGAGACACATGTAGGGCATATAATAAATATTGTAAAGCGCATAGATCTTGCTGTCAGGCTCCTATTCATTATTATTATTATTATTATTATTATTATTATTAGTATTATTATTATTATTATTATTATTATTATTATTATCATTATTATAAGGAGCAGTAATTTGCGCTTTATGCTAATTATTATAAGGGTCTTCTTCTCCTCCTCCTCCTCCTCCTCCTCCTCCTCCTCCTCTTCTTCTACTATCATTGTTATTATTATAATTATTATTATTATAATTATTATTATTATTATTATTATTATTATTATTATTATTATTATTATGTATTATTATTATTATTATTATTATTATTATTATTATTATTATTATTAATATTAATGTTTTACTCATATAGGGGAGTCATGATGATGAAGTGTGTAGTTAGTATAGTTTGTGTTTGGGACATAACGACTATCTATTGCAGAACTATCATTGTGCTTAATTAGTCGTTTCATTTTTGTTTCTGATAGTCACATCAAATTGGTCCTGGCCCAGATTATGAAAGGGTGAAGTTCAACACATCAGGACGAAGTCCTCTGATCTCTCATTATTTGCATATGAGACAGCTCAGAAGCTACAAGCAACCAGGAAAGAAAGTGCGAAGAACAGAGATTATGAAGTTACCATATCCTTTTTTATACTGATGATGAAGCATTGTGCACTGGCATATTATCCTAATTCTACTTGGTCTAGGTTTTTATATGATTCTTTAGATTTTAGCTTTTGTCAACCTTTTATCTTTTCAAATTTTACTCTTATAATGAAAGAAAAACTTTGCAATGTTGCTGGTTTGTGATGATAAGTTGAAATTAAGAATTTGTTTAAAATGTTAAATTAAGTCTGGATATTTCTTTCCTCAATCTGAAAAAAAAGTTAGGGTATAAGACTGCCAGCAGAGTGGAAATATTTTAAGCGTTGGTTGCGAAAAAAAAAAATTGAAAAGGTGTCAGATTTTTAAAACAAAGAATGCTTTATGGGTAGAAAATTGTATCGTTTTTATTTAGATCGTAGTATCAACATTTGTAATGATGTAGAATGTTATAAAATTGTTGTTATGAACATTGGGAAGTCTTGCAGACAGTTGTTTAGCGCTTTTTAGTTAGTATTCCTTAATAGGTTTACTCCAGAGGGACCAACATACCAGCAGTTTATTGCTTCTACTATTAGCAAAGCGGACTCACTCAGCAGAGAATATTCAAGGTAATGTGTTCAGTTGGTATCCTGTTGTTTTTTGGGGTGGGTTTTGTGTGTGTGTGTGTGTGGGTTATTACCCCATTGTCATGCTGTCATATATGTTTTCAATTAAATATAAGAAAGAATGATCATATTTGATATAAAACTTAATTTTAAATAACTCAGTGAGATTAGCTTTTAAGTTGTGTTGTTTAAAAGTCTAAGCCATACATCCTTCCTGTACATAGCTAGAAAAATACAAAAATAGTAAGAAAAAGGTGATGGTAGTAATGTCAAAACAAGATATAGGCTCCTTCATGAATACATACTTTTTGGTATCATGTGAAATTGTTTTAATACTTCTTTTTGGGAAAATGAGCCACCCTAGAGGTATAAATCCAGGTATTTTTAAGAACTTGTAGGGATCAGTATGAAAGGAGCACAAGTGCAGTATCACAATCAACAATATCATTTTAGGGGAACAAAATTTAGTTTAATGATCTGTGAAGTGAACGCCTCTTGATACTAGTGTTCAGTTTTGTCTTTTTTTTTTCTAAACAGAGACTTTCTTTGGTCATGTTATAACCTTACAATCTGCCTTAAAGTTTCTCTTTGTTTTGTAATGGGTGCAGACTTTGTGATCAGACATCAGCTGATATTCTTGACCTGGAGAGGAAAAAGAGAGACACAAATAAACAAATCAACAGTCTCAAGAAAGCTTTGAGTGAAGCCAAGAGCCTTCAGGAAAGACGCACTCTCATGGACAAAATAATAGAATTTAAGGTAAATGTGGTAAACTGTTTTGTTTTTGAGCATGGTGGGATGAATTAAGCTTTTTAAAAAAATTTAACTCATTGAATGTCAAGAATGTGCATGTTTTTTTCCTTTTTTAACTCTTATCCTGCGTCTGTGCCCAGATGCGTATCTTATCAGCAACCGATTACGTCGGACTCGCCGGGCAGGCCGCCGGGGTCACTCAGTGTGTACTGTTGGTGTACAGCGCGCGCGCCGGGAAACGTGTGTTTTCGCCATGAATACCGCGGGAGTGTGTTAACTGATGATGAAAATAACGCTCTATCCTTCATAGCATTCTATTTATAAAGTGTTACAAACACATGAATAACCCCCTCTCACAAGCTGATAAGACATTACGAGTAGTTACGCCCATTTGAATAACCTTTCTGGACGCTCTTGTTGTTATGAATGACCTGAGGTTCGAAAAGGGATAATTTAGGTCAATTTCCGAATGTTTTACACTCAAATTGTTCTTTGTACCTGCACAAGGGTATTCAAAACTATCAAACAAGCTCATTTTTTATCAGGTAGTATTATTTCATACAAAATCAAGCTCATTTGAAATATTTGTATAGAAAAAATGGAAGTCTTGTTTCCTGACTATCCTTTCGAGCTCCTCATATCTAAGTGGGTCAATTTCTTCTATAATTTCATTGGATGAACATCTAGAGCTATCAACTTGGCATGTTTTGAATGAGACGTATGCCTCGATTATGAACCAACGCAGGTGGTTCTAGAAGAAGGCCACAAACGCACACAAACTCAAGCAGACTGACGCACACACACTTGACCTGCGTGAATGGGGATCCGACTCGGGACCCGAATGACACGTAAGAGGATGCGCGCTTCGCGTGCGCTGAGCCAGGAGCTATACTGACTCGGGACCAGAACGCAGGCGAGGTGCCGAAATAGGCTTATCGGGCTACATAAACCCGGCTCCCGCAGGATGAGGGTTAATATTTGGTTTTGCATTTTCATTTACTGATCAGATGTGTTTCATCATTTTTTGTTACTCATAACACTTTTTAGACTGGATTAATTGAAAACCTTTACTAGATCTATGTTTTTTACTTAATGAGCATTAATTTCTTCTAAAATGCCTTGTGAATGCTTCAGATGTCTGTGATGGGAATTTAAAAGGCCACAAAGTCATAAGTAGGCAAAGGTCGGCCAGAAGTATTGAAACTTAACCAAAATATTGGGAGGGGAATGGGGAAATTCTGTCTCAGTTGCAGAGGAATTAATTTCGCCACTATAAGGCTGTACAAGGTTTGGTTCTGTGCTTTGAAAGGTGGATTAAGCTTCTTTTTTTTTTTCTAAACAAGTTCTGAGTTTGATATCTATACATTGCATATTGGAAGTTGTGTTTTTGAACAAACGGTCCTCCATTTTCCTCTGTCTTACCTGTTGGCAAAGACTTGGAAGCATAATGGTAAAGAGAAAGTATGTGAGTAATAAAAATATATGGTAATACAAAGACAATAAAAACCCAGCATCATGCTCTTTTTTTTCTTTATTTCAGGAGAGTGGTCAGAAAGAGATGCCACTACTTGAGCAACAATCCTCCAGATCAGAAACATCCACCGAAGATTCATATGATTATGACGACTAGGCTTTGGCTAGATGTAATACCAAAAAATGCCATGTTTTTCTTTACAAAATGTGTCACAGTGCGGTGGAATCAGTCGCTCGTCAATTTTTGGGCATGTATGGAGTTTTTGATATAATCTTCTAGCTTGTTCATTTGTATTATTGTGGCATCAGTGGCCTAGTGGTTAGGCTACCGGACTCGTAATCGTGAGGTTGCGGGGTCATGGGTTCGAGCCGCGGGCCCAACGTTGTGTCCTTGGGAAAGGCACTTTACTCGAATTTTCCTCACTTCATCCAGGTGGAAATGGGTACCCGGACATAGACAGCGAAAGATCTTGTCAGTATGTCAGTGTTTTAGCACCTATAAATGACTGCTTGCACTGTATGCTTCTCAGGAAGTTGAGTTTGTTTCAGAATGCTCTCAGGTCTGCTGGGGTAATAGTATAGATTGTGAAGCGCATAGAGCTTCCTGTTGAGCGGGGATCTTGGCTATACAAATGCTATCTATTGTTATTATTATTATATTATTACTTTTGACAAAAATAATATCCATCAGTCTTGAATAGCAGTCTTGTTATTTTCATTTAAAGAGGTAGGGTCATCTGGTCGCAGAGTTAAAACTAGCGAGAAAAGGCTAGCGAAGTTTGGTGACTTCCAAAGCTTGAGAGTCCTTGGAAACTAGATTTGTATTTTTCATGCCTTTGAACAGTGTTTTTCAATGATATCCACACTGAAATGTATTTTTTAATGGACATAAAGGGTGTTAAGTTCAAAAAAGAAATAAAAATTACCCAACACGCGGAAAAATGCTGTTCACTTTGATTTCATTATATTTCTTGTAGAGCGCCTGATTTCACCATGATGCCTCACAAACGTGTCATGTTTCTCTTGTGGACGCTTATGCCAAATATGTTGTATTTTGCAGGACATTTTATAAGTTATGATCGAATCAGAAAATAATGTTTTTTATCGAGAAGATCTCTTGGATCAACTTGATATGCCTCTCATTCCTTTGCTGCAAATGTTTTTAAATGATGTCGAAGACTTATCAAGGGAAGTAAAGGTCCATCTTTCTTATAACTGCAATATGCTTGCTGTTCAAGTATGAGATCAGACTTTTAGGATTGATTTTTCTTTCATGTTAGAATATGTTTTTATTGGGATGTGGCAGAGTAATGGGGTTTTTGGTGGTGACAAGAATATAAGCTTTTAGCTGAAAGTGTCAAGAAATACTGCCATATTTTTCTCATTCTATGTGTCCTTTGTCATTTGTAAAACTTTCATGTACTTTAAAAAATTAAATCTGCTAAACTAGTGAGAACTGATAAATGGTTTTAACGAAATATTTGTTGGCATATAAAGATGTTTGTAGAGCCTCTTATTCTCCTTTCCTTTCTTTTTAGTTAACAAAATTCTAGAATCATGCTCAATTACTTTAATACAAAAATTTAGTTTGAATTAAGAACAGATCTTTCTGACTTCATAAGTGTATAATTTTTGAGTTTAGGGTCTTGTGGATAATAATACCACACTCACTGCCAAGCCTGCTGTATAATGCTATTTATCAAACAGGGTTTTGTTAAAAGAAGCAAAGTCTCAGACTCATGTGTAAAGTGATAATGACTCTTCTGAAGCAAATGCTAAAGATTTTCATCTATTTGTATAACTTATTGAAAAGTTCATCAGCATAATAAAAATTATGTACGTTTGTGAAAGAGAAAGTATACAAAACCAAGTTTTTAGGAGGATTTAAAATGAATGCCCTGATGTTATTAAGATAGTGTGAAGAAAAAAAAAAAGATTTTCTGTTAATTTATTTGATGTTGAAAAGTTTGTGTGGCTGATATGTATCCATTGCATTTCAGGTTTTCTTTGTTGTAGGTTATAAACTGAAAACTTAATGATGCCCTGCAAATTCAGAGCAACATTAGGATAAGAATCTATATCTCTTATTGTGAGACTATTCATTCTTCCTACAGAAATGTTTTGTGGTGTTTTGTATTCCCTCACTTTTTGTACATATAGAAAAATCCTATGCATCATGTGTGAATAAAAAAGATTGTTTAACTTTGTATAATCGAGATTCAAAATTCATTGTTTTATTTTTTTCATTACCTTGGTGATAATATTGTGAGTACAAATTTATAGATCAGAGCATCAGCTTATGACGCATGTGCAGGGAATTCAAAAACAAGGATATGGTTGAGGGAATGCTTTCCAGCAACACTATTTACTTTAACTGAATTCATTCAATGAAAAAAAGGCACCTGAAGCTGACGTATCCACATAATTTGGCATTTTACAGAAGGAAAGAGCTTAGATATATATATATTCAAAATGTTCGTTTTTTTGGTGGGGACAGTCAGCAGTTATCCTTTCTTTTTACATTGTTGATCCAAAATGAAGTTTGCCATTGATAAAGTTTGTCTGACCAAGTATTCAGTTTCATGTTGATGAGACGAACTGAAAAATTGCAATAGGAATCAGTTTTCAGCAATTTTGAAAATCTTTTTTCTTTCTTTTTTTCTTTAAAAAAAAAGAAGTTTTGTATGTATTTCACAGCACTTACAAATCAATTAGGTCATATATATAAGTGCCCAATATTAGAGGTGTTACAGAAGAGTAACAAACACAAAAAAGAAGAAGAGATAAACATGACAGATGTTTAGTAGGAAAGAAGGAGCAAACCAGCACACCACAGCACCCGCTAACCACCCACTTTTGTAATAATAGATTTTTCTTGGGAGGAAGGGGGAGGGGGATTTTTCATTCACCCAGTGTTGTCAGAACATTGTGTTTGTTTATACTGTTTGTCTATTGTTTCTCTCACTTATGTTCCTGATTTTACATTTTTCCTTTTGTGATACCTCCCATCTATTCTTTTTGGGATCAACACAATGTTGAAGTTGTTGGGAAATCTTCTCTATTTCTGAAGATCCAGGGTTCAGTAGAAGCAAAATCTCCCAACATAGGCCTGTGAATTTGCATGTCCTCTTAGTTTTATATACAAGGCTCAGTCCTGCTGAAGACCAATAGAACTGCCTGATGTTGAATTGAGCTAGAAAGGAGCCTGATATGAAAAATTACCAAAGTTAGCACTAAATTTTAAACCATTTTCCCCTTTTTTTCCTTATTTCTTTCTTTCTTTCTTTCTTTCTTTCTTTCTTTCTTTCTTTCATTCTTTCTCTCTCTCTCTCTCTCTCTTTCCCTCTCTCTTTCCCTCTCTCTCACTCACTCTCACTGTCTCTCCTTGTCTGTCTGTCTGTCTGTCTGTTTGTCTGTCTGTCTGTCTGTCTGTCTGTCTGTCTGTCTGTCTGTTTGTCTGTCTGTCTGTCTGTCTGTCTGTCTGTCTGTCTGTCTCTGTCTCTTTCTCTCTCTCTCTCTCTCTCTCTCTCTCTCTCTCTCTCTCTCTCTCTCTCTTTCTTTCTTCACCTGGTCCCCTGTTTGTCTTCTCCTGTCTCACATTCTCTCCGTCTCTCTTCAGACCAACCCCCCTTATCCCTATCATTTTCTCTCTTTTTGAAGTGGAAGCCTCATATATCTGGGATTTTCTTAAAGTCTCAATACCCCATGTCCCAAGGACCCTTCAAGGTCAACATTCAAACAACAGTCGGGGACCACTACAAAGGTCAAATGCAGATGCCATTTTCACTCCTTTATAAAATAAAAACAAAACCGTTGCTGCCCGACACAACAGCAGACGTAGTTCAATTGGTATCATAAACTGAACTACATGGATCTGGACTTGCTCCTCTACACAACCTTACAGCGTTTTTACGTGTCTTGATCCTATACCCCCTTTCCCCACCCCCACCCACACACCAATACAATACCACATTATCATACTGTAGCAGAAATAAGTGAATGGGTCGATCAATGAAAAGATGAATTAGTAATGATGAGTAACCTTTTTGCTACTTGTTCCCTTTGAATAATGAAATCCACCTTCCCTTCCCCTGACTGAAGCTAAAATTATAGTGCGGTCAAAAATTCATGGCGCAACTTATTGTCATATATAATATCTCCTCAACAATTTAACATAAACTCTCCAGCTTTTGCACAGCGACTTGTACTTGTATCAATTTGCCTTAACAGGTCAATATTTTTATAAACACCTTTTAGCTTTATTCTAGAAAATTCCTGAATAAATACTAATAGAAAATCCCAGTCGGTGGTTTCTACAGATTTTAAAAGGTTTACAGCTGGGAGCAATCGCTTTTTAAAACAAGTCCGTCATTTTTTTTCTAATCGTGAGCTTATGTTTACATGTATTTGAACGTTTGTTTTAAGAACTTCTAGTGCAAAAAAGTGTTCACTAGAAAATTAGTTTCTTGTAATTAGCTTTGCCACTAAAGAGTGTCATTAGTGAGCGGTGACGTAAGCCATATGCCTTCGCAAAATGTGTGTCAAAAGAGGGAAGTGCTGTGAACAATTCTCCATTTTCCGCATGAAGGAGATTTGCAGTATTTTATATAAATTTATAAAGAAAGGTTTTTTAATCTAGCTTCACTTATTGTGGAAACAAATGATAAAGTTAAGGCAAATTGATACGAACTGCAGTGCAAAGTATGGATGACAATGATTCTCCCGTTAAAAATATTATATTTGAGGATAAGTTGAGCCACAAATTTTTGACTGCACTTTTAATTATTAAAAAGGAATTTACTGTAATAACTATAAAGAAATAGATAAAGAAATAGATAAATATATATGTATGTAAGTGTGTGTGTGGT